TGGAACCTAGTGATACTACCCATATGATATGACCTAATCCAGTCCTTTTACTTCTGTCATCCTCAGTTGTAATTTCTGTGCATTATAACAGAAAACTTCTAAGTTTCTTTTCATTCCTAAAACCATATGACTTGCTGGAGGTGTAGCCCAAGCAGTAAAGTATCTGCTTACCAAGTGCAAGGTCCTGAGTTCAAACCCAAATACCAACAAAAGAAAAAGTAAAAGAAACGTATGACATAAATCACAATTTCAGCTGGTCATTTTCTAGTTAATTTTGGACTTCTGCTGTAGCTGCTTTTATGATATTATTAGTCAAACCAATGATTTGACCAGAATCCTTTGCCAGGAAATTAGCCATCTATTATTACTTTTTTGGGTAAAATATGAGTTGCTTTTCAACTACTGTAATGAATACACCATATGTTATATTTGCAGTTTGTCTGTTAACAAACACCTGTGGTTAAGCTTCCTAGGTGGGTTGTTCCTGGGAAAGGCCCATGCCTCGTTATGTACCTGTATTTATCAAAATTACCCTGGAGCTGACTTCAGCAAAGCTCCAAGCACAGCACCAGGTGGCTGAGCCAGGAACACTTTGAGTTCATCCTACTTCTTCCCGATGGAGTTGAAACCATGTAGTAGTGTTGTCTCTGCTCTTCACAGTTTGACAAAAGATATGACTCATGAAGACTCAAGCAACCTCAACACCTCAAGTGCTTGGGTAAAAACAGAAAATGTGGTGACTGTGAGCATGAAGTTTTTCACACAACTCCAACCCAGGCTACCACAATGCCTTTGTATCTTTCCATGAGTCACTCAGCAAATCCACCACCAATCACTTTCAAGATAGACCAGCTTCCCCAGTTGCCTATACCACTTCCATTTTTTCAGTGAAAGGAAAACAGACTACAAATATTCCTTGGGAAAAAAACATAATAATTTAGTAAATACATTCAAATGTCTACAAAGCATCAGGTCCTGTTGTAGACAGTAGAGAGGTAGAGATCTGAACAACCCAAACTCCTGTCGTGACATTTACATTCTAGTTGGCTAGAAGTGGAGGAAAAAAAACATGGCTTTGGATTCTTCTTCATGCATTGTAAACGTACTCCAGCTTGTCATGATTTTCTTAAAATGTGACATTACAAAGTTGGGCAAATATTCTACCTGAGTATTCTAAAATGGAACCTGGTCTGCCAGATCCTAATGAAAGTATATTTTTAGCATTTATATTTACCATTGTCAAGGTAGGCGGATGAAATGTATTTCACTTTGTAGTTTGTTGTTTTCATTTATAACTAAATAGAGCCAGGGAATGTGAGCCTCCCATTTGTACTCTGGCCTCAGTTTCCACCATTAGTGGTAAGTATATTCATGGGAAGGTGTTGCTTCCTATGGATTTAGTTTCTTACTAATAGCATCAAAAGCAGTATGTTTAAGTCTGATTTTCACTAAACAAATCCACAAAATAGTGTAATTTTTATTAGGTATTTTGTTGCAAAAACCCAGAAATTCATGGAGGTAGCTGAAGCAAGGGAGCATTTAATACAGGCAGTGCCTGACTTTGGTGGTTCTACTTGCAAGTTTTTTACTTTACAATATGTGAAAGTGATATGTAAGTTTTGAGTTTTTATCTTTTCTTGAGCTAGACATATGCATTATGATCCTTTTGTTCAGCAGTGACAGTGAGCCGCAACTGCCCCTCAGCCCTGTGATCAGAGGGGAAACAATTACCACTGTACAGCGTGCTGGGGGCTAAATGAGGATGGTTGGTAGGTGAGGTGTATGACATGCATTTTTGACTTCTCATAAGTTGTGGTGAGTTTACTGGGATGAGTTGAGGAGCATGTTTTCAGTATTTCTGTCCCTGTACCCTGCAGTTTCCTGTTGTTATCTACCTGATTTGATCTTTTTCCTAATTCAAAATTTCATGGGCAAGAATCAAATTGGATCCCTTTATCCCTCCTCCCCTTTTTTTGACCCAGGCCAAATTTGTAGCCAATTTCCCTATCTAATTAAGACATTTGGAGATGGGAATAGTGGTAGACACCTGTAATCCCAGTTACTCAGGAGATGGAGGCAGGAGGATCTCGAGTTTGAGGCAAACCGGGCAAGTAGAGTGCTTGTCTAACATGCTCAAGGTCCTAGGTTTAATCCCCAGTATCACTGCCCCTCCCCCACCACATACATACATTATAAAAAGATATTTGGTGGGGCAGAGTTGGCTATCCTTGGGTCAGGTGTGTACCCCTGTGTAATTAGCATTGCTGGAAAGGATCCAGTTGTAGAAGAGGTGTCTGCTGAGGGCTGGCTCATGAAGGCCCGTGGAAGGGGCTATGGGCACAGCAGAAACCATGATCGTCCTGTAGTCATGGTGAGTTTGTCAGCTTCCTTATCATACTTTCTACACATTCCTCAAGAAACAGTTCATCTTCTGACAGATCATGATAGCATGTCACTACTAGCAGAACACTAATCATCACTATTCAGTTCTTGCTGAGGCAGGTGTAAGGATTATTACATTTGCTATCATCAGTGGTTCTCCCTCATTTTTCTGATATAGGGGATAATGCTCCTTCCCAAAAGAAAGGTGAGTGCCTAACTTACCTATTAGTCCTGGAAGGATCTACATAAGGCATTAGCAAATGCAATAGTTTGGATCCTGGGATCTAGAGATAGAATTTCTAGAAGGGAGATTTATGAAACTGCACCAACATCTTTAGAAAATGCCAAAGAAAAAGATGGAGATAGACAAGTCCCAAGGGCAGAACAAGATCAAAATCAGACTACAATTCAAGGATCAGCAATCAGGTAAAACTGGAACATATGAGCTGGTGTGGTGGTATACACCTGTAATTCCAGCTATGTGGGAGGTGGAGGCAGGAGGATTGTGAGTTTGAGGCTAGCCTGAGCAAAGCTAGCAAGATCTTAACTCAAAAACAAAATAAAAACAGAAGGGCTCAAGTGGTAGAATGCTTGCCTGGACCCAAGGCTCTGAATTCAGTCCTCAGTACTACAAAGGAAAAAAAAAAAAAAGGAACAGATGGAGGATGCTGTGAGACAGAAACCAACATGTTCACATGTGCTCTTATGGTCTTGCCAGGTGGTACATGGTAGACTGGAAAAGCCTGTTTCTTCCCTTTTCCCTCTACTGGTTACATTCTTTTGTGTCAGAGTCTGAGTATCATTACAACTCTCCTTCATCACCTTGAAACTTCTTCCTTTCTGCTGGGATAATTTCTTCTTGCCTATCTCAGAAATCTTTAATGTCTTTAATAACCTGGGGTTCAGTGTGACGTTGTAAGCGCTTTATCCAAATTTCTTTAAAGAATACACTCTGGAGGAGGAATCTTCCATATGCCTCATAGGCCACAGAAACTATTGCCCTGGTCTATGGATGCTTGGGGATCAAGAACATAAGCTTTGTCTTCCACAGTGAAACTCACCTCCTGTATCATGCGCTCGTGGGGAGACACGGCTGTGGACACTTCATGTTGTTTATCTTGCCCCACCCATTCCCAAGTTAGGTAGTCTACCAAGGAGAGGTAGCAGTGATGATCACTTGTCATCACACCTCTGATATGCTCGTATATCATCTCACACACTTCCACCTGTTTCCTGGTTGGGTAATTTGGCCAATAACAAACACCAGCTTGCTCGTAGACTTTCCTATGTACTGCATATTCCGTAAGCAAAATGGGCTTTTGTGAACTGGCCTGGGAAGCAGGCTCACACTTTTAACTCCCAAGGACAACTTACAATATTTTAGAGCATATCTTATTCATACTTTGGAGCCTGTCTTTAGTTTGTATATTATATTTATTAAAACTCTTTGTGTAATAGAGTATCACTCTTATTGATAAGCTATCAGGTATATCTAAAGCAAACTCTCACCTTTCAAAAGTGGTATTTTCACTGTGAGAAAATGGTTTTCCTGCTGCTTTTGAGTAGTAGTTGTTTGGTGCTAAACTCTGAAGATGTTTGCTTTAGCTTAAAAAAATACAACTTATGAAGAACCAGCACTTCACCTGAAATTTCTACTCATTCATTCCTCAGTTGCAACATTACGGAGTCATTGTCTTGGTCAGGCTATCCTTCAGATCAAGAAGTGTTTACCAGTGACCTAAAAGGATTGAGGGAGCTGTTTATTGAGTATGCAGAGTTTGCAACACATAGGACAAACTGAAATTACACAAAGAAAACCCCACCAAAAAGTGCACCAATTATAAAATGACAAGCAAAATCATTTCTGCCATGAGCGTATTGGGGTGGCTTCTCTCCTTATTAACGTGAATATGTAACAGGAATGACACCAGTCTGTAGGCCCTTGTCAACCAACCTACCAATGCTGTGTCCTGAGTGCCTGTGAGTAGTCACTATATTAACAGACACATTTGCCTTTTTGATAAATGGTTCAATTGTTTTTTTTTTTGTTTTTTGGGGGCAGTTCTGGGGTTTGAACTAAGGGCCTCATTCTTGCTAAGCAGAGGCTCTATCACTTGAGCCACTCTGCCAGCCCTCAATTGTTTTTCTTATTCAAGTAACTCAGGATCAGCAGTACCTTCATCTAAAGTGCCATCGGAAAAGCTGTGAGCTGAATTAAACCGATGCCCCCAACAAAATCCTTTTTCCCCTGAACTTTCTATGAAGATCCCATTCTTTCTTTGTGCATCTAATTAGCTACTTGTAAGGAAAGTGCACACAGCAACAACACACATTCTCACATTCCAAGTCTGACATCTCATTGAAGAGACAGGGGTTTGGAGTCAGTCAGGATTGAGTTGAACTTGTGACTGTCACAGTAAGTAAATATGATCATGAGAAAGTCACTTAAGCTCTCTGGGTCTGTTTTCTTATCTCTAAAATGGAGTAAAAAATAAAAATGACCTCGATAGCTACTAAAGAATAAACACGCTAAGATTTGCAAATTTCTTAGCACAGGGAATATGCATTCACTAAATGTGGATTTAATGATTACTCTTCAGAAATTGCTCCAAATTTTGTAATTCTGCCAGGGAGTTATCATTACCCATGTCTGTGGATGGATGAATTAAGTGACTTATGCAGGGTTAAACGACTCACTAGTGACAGCACCAGGACTTCTGACTCCAGGCCCCAGGATCCCACCACACCCTCTCACCCCCAGTCAACTTTATAGACTTTTATAGAATGGGATGCAGTATCCAGCACAAGAAGAGAATTCTCCTTGGTGAAGGTCAGTGCCACAGGACGGGAAAGACCATGAGTGACGATGGGCTTCAATACTGGAAGCTCCTCTGGTTTTCCCAAGCATAGGATTGCTGCACCAGCGGTATCTGCAATAATCACATTTCCCTGATGATCGAAGGTCACAGCTGAAGCAGTTATTCTGGAGGGAAAGAAGAGGCTCAACCCAAAGGTATCCACCTGATTGATCAGCTGCATACTGGAGCTAAACACCTTCACCCTGGTGCTGCTGGCCCCGGTCGCCAGTGTTGTTGAGGGGTGTTCTAGGACTGCGATGGCCCCCGTGAGCCAAGACACGGCCACCCCACGGGGATTGCATAGGTGAGCTTGCAACCTTTCAGTTCTCTGAAGAACCCCTTCTGCGAAATCGACTTCCAGAAGGTTCAGGGACCCTGTGTCTGCATCAGTTACCAGGAGCCCATTCTGAGGCGTGGTCTCCACACCCCAAGGCAAGGAGAACTGGCCTCCAATGACGAGCTTGATCTGGCCAAAAAAATTAAACACTTTGATGGAGCGGTCGCCGGCATCGGTGACAATCACATGGCAGTCGTTGGTGACGGTGACGTCCAGTGGGTACCTAACGTCCTGGGCAGCATCCCCCTTCTCTCCAAACTGATGCGCACATCCTCCCCCGGAGTCAAAGATCTTCACCCGCCTCTTACCATCGTGCACCACCACAACCCGTCCTGTCTTGGGACACAGTGCCAGCCCCGTGGGGTTGACCAGGGTCCCCCACCCGCCAAACGCGTGGTGGCAGGTGAGGGCCCTGGGGGCGCAAGGGGCGGCGCAGGGCGCAGCCGGGGACTGGTGAACGGTGGAGCCCAGGAGCTCCAGGAGGTGCAGCACCGGCAGACAGTCACTGGTGTCGCAGGCCCGGCAGGCTCGCCGGCAGAAGGGACACTCGAGGGCCAGCGTCCGCGGATGTGCCAGAGCGGCCACGCAAGCCAAACAGACCACGTGGCCGCAGGGCAGGTTGCGCGGGCGTCGCTGCTGGCGGTGGCCGAACCTCTCAAAGCACACCTTGCACTCAAGCAGGCTGGTGTCAGCCTCGCGCAGCAGCTCCGGCAGCGCCGGTGCGGTCCCGGGGGCTTCGTCCCCCATGGCGCAGTCCCGGGCGCTCCCGCTGCGCGCCCGGCCGGACGCTGCCCCCGCGCAGCCTTTGGTCACGGTCACGAGGCCCGGCGTCCGCCCTGACGCTGAGCGCCGCGGGCCGCTGGAGCGCGACCTGCTGCCCCCTGGTGGGCACGCAGGACTGTGTCCATTTACAACACACCCGCATGCGTGTTGCGTAGACCTGTGATCTCACGTCACGAACCATCTCTACTTTACAGACATCTATTGAGGACAAGGAGGTTGCTCCCTATTATTCAGCTAAAGCAAGAGCTACAACCCCGTAGATGGGTGATGTGTACCAGGGTTAGCCAGTCGGAAACCATGGTCCCTTACCTCGGGATGCTTATGATCTCATTGAGAAAGCACAGGCACAGGAGAGAAGTCAAACTCAAGAAGGTGCATACTTCTGTGGTGGGTTTTTATCACAGTCGTAGTAGATGCTATTAATACATACTCATAAAATGAGTTTGCCTAGAAGGAGTATTATAGGACAATACAAGAAATCCACTAGGAAAAAAAATTCACTGGGCGAATGACATCAAATTTGGGAACCATAACTGGAATGTCTTCCAGAAGAATAAATACGTAACAAGAAAGCTGTTACTTCATAACAATTACTACTTTTGAGTGGTTTACATAGATAATCTTATTTAAACTTCATAACAATCCTTTTTTCTCCTTGTAGTTCTGGGGATCCAATCCAGGGCTTTGTGAATGCCAGGCAAGTGTTCTACCACTGAACTACATTTCGATGGTTTGTTGAGACAGATTCTTGCCATGTAGCTCAGGCTGGCCTGGAACTCAAGATGCTCTTGCTTCGGCCTCCCAGGCACTGGGATTATAAGCATGCAACATCATGTCTGACTGACAGTCCTGTTTTCATCCTTATCTTTAATTGAGGTCACATGTGACCCTGCCTAGGGTCACATGGCTACGAAGTGCTTGAACTGCAATTTGAAACCAGGCGGTTTGACTACAGAGGCCCCACTCTTAACTATTCCAGTGATTTCAAGTTTGGTTGTACTTGGTAAATACCTGGGTCTCACCCCCAAAGGTTTAATTGGTCCAGGGTGTGGTCTGGGCAGCTGGGATTTATAAAAGCTCTCAGGTGATTATAATGTAAAGCAAGCTTGAGAAGCACTGCACTGTGATGATTCCTCCACATAACACCAGGTTTAAATCTTCCAACCTCGGTTATGACTGAAAGCAAAGAGATTTACCGTATGTCCTGAAAACTTCAAACAGGAGTTAGTGTGAGCTCCTTTGGGAAGCCATTTTGGTATTACGATCTCTCACTGTCAGGAGTTTCCTCACCTCCAAGTGTCTTATGTGAACAGTGTCCTTGGTGATGTATATTATGATTACAGGTCATAATCATGATTGCCTATTCTCTTATTCACTAGACTTCTGAGAAAATGGGAATCTATTTCTTGGTAAGATCCCAGGAGAGAGATTTAATATAAAACAAGAAACAACACTTTCTTATCAAATGTTACATGATTCAAAGATTGCCTGTGTTATTAGGACACAATAATCAAGTTAATGCTATAATTTCAGAATGTATTTCCATTTCAAATAAATAGCCAACTTAAATAACATTCAATATTAACTTCTTTCAGAAGCAATTTTTAAATAAAGAAATACATTCAGAACATCAAAAATGGAATATTTTTAGAATGATGGTCACATTATATAATAAATTTTCTACTAGCCATATTTTAAAAGGTAAAAAGACACTAATGAAATAAATTTAATCATATATTTCATTTATCCTCCAAATACCAAAAATATTACTCTGACATTTGTAATCACCATAAAAATATTAATGAGATAGTTAATACTCTTTGGTATGTATCAAGTAAAATCCAGTGTGTATTTTGCACTCACAGTGCATCTTAATTCAGATTAAGTCACTTTCAAATGCTCAGTACCTACATGTGGCTGGACCAGGCCATGCTGAGATGTTACCTTCTCAAGACATTTCTTAGACTGATTTCATTGATCCCTCACTTGCTTCTAATCTAGCTCTGTTCCAACATTGTTTCAAATTTATTCAAAGACCTCAATTCATTGCTGACTGTAGTTGAGCTTCAGTCCTTCAGTGCTGCCCAGGAGTGAGCTGGACCGCTTAACTCTTTGCTCGTGGCTAAGCTTACCTTCTTCTTCTTGATCCTTTGCTGCCCCTCTGAGGTACCTTGTAGCAGTACACCACCATCAACTAAGCCCACCAGTGTCTCAGGGGATTAGCTACATACTCCAGAAAAAAGCTGCAGTGAACATGACATTTTTAAGAATGTGCATGAAATCCCTCTAACCTCGGAAGCTGGGCAGTGCAGTGGTGCTGGAAAGCTTTGTGGCACATATGCAGACGGTCTACTCTAATGATTTACTGTCCAGAATCCCATAGTAAATTTGAAGTATGGAAAGATAACTTGATTGGGAGTTAAGGTTTTCTCTGTTCTGCAAAGATTCAGAAATAAAGCAACATGGAGATTCGAGTCTTCTCAATTTAGGGTTCCTACATTCTAGCTGTACCTTCTTGGAAATCTTATCTATGGAATTAGCTCTTTTCTATTCTGGTGTTCCTGTCACCCCAAGCCAGTTCCCTTCCTTTGCTTTACACCAAAGATACGGAGTCCAACTGTCCTTTCTATCCATTCTTGAAATTGCACTTTATCTTCATTCTCTGTTACTATTGCTTCTGTCTCTGAAGGGATAAACTAAGTTCCATGTCTGGTTTTGCTCAACACTGGATCCTGGTGCCTAGCACAGGCCTGACAGGCATTTGCTGAATGAATGCTGCCTATAATGAGAATATACAAGTATTAATAATTCTTGGCTGGAGAATGTAGTTCCGCAGCAGAATACTTGCTTAGAATGCATGACGCCTGAATTCAATCACTAGCACCAGCCAAAACAAAGTCTTGTTTTTGAAAAATATTTAGTGACTCAGGAAAGGGCTGATGAAATAGAGGGAAAGTAGTGAAAATATAATTCTGTTTCCATAACACTGCAACTTTGTAAAACCATGCATTGTATGATCAGACAAAAAACGATGAAACACATCACCATCTTAAAAGTAATTATCTCTAATAACAGGATTTGGTTGCTTTTGTTTTTCCGTCTTAGACTTTCCTATACTTCCCAGAGTTTCAGAGTCTTCTTTTTATTATTTAAATATGTGTTAATATTTTATTTCAAAATACTATTTCCCTTGACTAGCTCCCTCTATGTGCTATTGAGAGTTAGTTAATATCAGTAGTGCAACAAACTTTGTTAGTATCCACTGGCTAGGGTTCACAGATTATCGAGCATATTTTTAATTTACACATTGAAGTTACACAAAATTAGGAAATCTGGACTATTTCCTGCAAATGGCAGAATGACTGTGTATAAATTATATATAGAATCCTATCTTCTCTCCATGAACTCAGCCACTCTGGTGAATTTGTAATATAATGTTTTGCAAGGAATAAAACACATTAGATAAGAAAGGATGGGAAGCTGAAAGGACTAAACACAGACTTGATTTTTAAAAGCATTCAGTAGAAATTTTTCTTTAAAAGATCTTTTGAGTGTGCCATATGCATATGCACATATGTATAAACACACTAAATTGCTCTCTTTTATGGAAATAAAACAATGAAAGGTATGTATTATAGTTGTGAGTGGAAGTTACTTGGATTAATAACCTTGTGGGTTAGGTTTCTATTTGCCCATGAGTCCATTTCATTTGGGAGCTCTCTCATGGGTACATCTTTCAGGCTACCTTCTGTGGTCCCCTGACCATTAACTCTTTATGGAACCAAATCTCTAGCTTGTCAGAGGTAGGTGTGAAGGCTTTGGTTATATTCCCTTGTATTTTTCTTTCCCCATTCACCACACAGACTGACTAGTACACATTATTTCTCCCTGTTTAGTACTGATAACTTTGAGTGTCTATGTTAGTGCATGCATGTTTGTTGTGGAGGCAGAAAAAGGCATAATAAGTCACCACGTGCAGGGTACAGAAGCTTGGATAGTCTGTTATTTAAAGCTCAAAATAAAATGTTTTTTAGAAAATCTTGAGAATAATTCAATTGCTCTAAAATAATGTACACGTGGCACATCTTCCATCTCGAGACTTCAGAAAAAGCAGTTTCCCCAATGAGGACACATATTACATAAAAGGTCAACAACATGAGGCTATTTCATTTGACTCATTTCAGATTCTTTAGGTGCAACTTGTAGAAGCCAACTCTAGTTAGTGCCAGAGGACTGTATCACATGGGTATGGGGCACTCTTCCCCAGCTTGGACTCTAGGGCTTCTGGAAGGATGAAAATGGGGACCTCAGACCTGTGGTTGCTCTCATTCTTGTCTTTGCTTCTCTTTCTGCAGATCAGCATTCTCATGGCTCAGATCTTATATGGAGATGGGATATGACTGCCCTACAGTTCCTGGGTGCACCTATTACGGTTTTACTCTCTGAGCAGCCAACTTGACTTTCCAGCCCCAAGTTCAAAAATCTCTGAGGAGAGCTATATTGGCCCAGGTTGGGTCACTTGTCCATTCTTGACTGACTTGTCCATTCTTGGTTCATTCAACTGGCCATGGAACTGTAGTCAGGTATCCATGGCTTCTGGAAACCCACACTGGACAGGGGCAGGTCTCAGAGAAGCAAGAATCATCGTGAGCAAACACTCTAATCAATAACTAAGTAAGTATATTAGAACAGATCAATGGCAGAAGGCCTGGAAGGTAGCAGTTCCTAAATGCTGGTGGAAAGGACAGTGAGGTCAACAATTCTGAACTTTAAGGAAGTCCACACAAAGTTTTGTGTTTAAAGCTTATATCCACAGCCTTCATCAATATTAATGGGGGACTGGAAGTGTGGTTCAAGTGGTAGAGCACCTGTTTTGCAAGAGGCTCTGAGTTCAAACTCCAGTTCCGCTATATCTGTGTGTGTGTGTGTGTGTGTGTGTGTGTGTGTGTGTGTGGTCCCCAAACCTCCCATGTGTGTACACGTGTATGTGTGCATGCACACATAACTTATTTTTAAAATGCACACCACCCTATTAATATGAGCTAAAAATATAAACCATTAGCTGTTAAGTGGTGTGTTGTGAGAACAGAATTTTTGACTTAACAAAATGTGACTGTTAATAGAAAACTGACAAATTTTGAATCTAAACTTTCATAATGGACAGCCTTGAGTCTAGTCCCAATTATATTATACTTTATAAGACTTGTTCATTTAAACAAGATTAAATTAGAAGAAACAAAAAAACTGCCAAGCTCAGAAAAAAACTTTTAAAAAGTTTATTCTTACAGTTTGGGAAAAATATTCTTTCCACGTAGGTTGTTCTATTTAATTAAATTTTTAAATGTTTCTTGTACAAGGAGAAAACGTGTGAAAAAGGGTGCTAGAATTAAAATATAAGATTAGGATTTATAGTAAAAGGTAATCTTTTATATAAGTTTTAGGACTACCTAAAAAAATTTAGAATCAGTGATTCTAAATTTCATAAAGAATGTTGGATTTTTAAAATTATATTTAAGTTATATGCATTTTCTTTTCTTTTTTAATTATAGAACAAATACATGCTGACTATAAAAAATTCTTGCAATCTGTAAGACACTCAGGTGTAATATTTTGCTCTCCAAATGAACTACTTTAACAATTAGTATGAAGTTTCTCCTAAAAAGTTATATGTGACTTATGAGAAAAAAATTTAAAATTTCATTAGATTTTTAAGCTTTAGCATCATTTTTAATTGCTCAAAAATAAAAGATCATGTTGGTGTTAACTTGATTGTATTTACACCTTTTCTGTAAGTAGATATAATTTTTCAAGTATATAGTCAATTCCCCAATGTTTATGTCGTTCTTCAAAAGCATCGACCTTCTCAAGGCAACGAATATTACATTTTGTACCTGAAACAGGAAGGGAAACAAGTTAAAACACTGAGAAAAATAGCATCAGGGTGCTTCCAAAGACACTGCAAATGACTTTTAAAACAGTATGTATTGAAGATCTCTCTTGTTCATTCTTTTTTTTTTTCTCTCTCTCTCTCTCTCTGATGGGACTGGGGTTTGAACTCAGGGCTTCGTGTTCACAAAGCAGACACTCCACTGCTTGAGCCACACCTCCAGTCCATTTTTCTCTGGTTATTTTGGAAATGGGGGTCTCCTGAACCATTTGCCTGGGCTGACCTTGAACCATAGCTAGATTACAGGCTTGAGTCACCAACACCTGGCTTGCTTGAACTTTCTCTGTCTCTTTCAAAATCAAAACGGAAACGCTAAGAGCAAATTTTCTGAAGTATGAATTGTTATTATTACTTACAAATCCCAAGAGCAAAAAGGAATATGCCTCCTCTCTAGAAATTCAAGCATCTTTAACATAGGGATGTGGAGACTGGTGTTTTTTCTAGGGTAGAACAGTCTTTAATAAAGTGGATAAAATGGTCTGTACCTTTTTTTTTTTGGTGCAGGGGCCAGAACCCAGGGCCTTGTATATAGTAGGCAAGCACTTTGCTAAGATCCATATCCCTAGCCCCTCTACCTTTTAAATTTTACATACTTTAATTGTGTGTGCTAACAGTTCACTAAAAAATAGCTCAAAACAGGTAGCTGTTGACATTATTTTTTATTTATTTAGGTTGTAGCCCATGTAGGTCTGAAACTTGATTCTCCATGATATCTGATCTATTTATAAAACAGAATAACTTACCAAACAACCTTTTAATTTCAGCATCTGGAACATAAAATGGTGGGCCTAGGAAAAAAGAGAAACATACCGAAGAATTATTTCCTTAAGTCTAATTTGAAAAAGAAATAAATTCTCAGGTCCCGTCTCTTAGCTTATTTCCAATGACCTAGGTAGATTTATTGTATATACCACTTAATTCTCCAAATACAAGGGGATCTAGCATGTTTTTCTGATTCTTCTTTTTTTTGCATATGTCAAAGTAAGCTTATGGCTGACTGAGCATCTTAGGAACATGGAAAGCAGTGTGAACTGCATTAGCAAATTCCTCTGGGGTTTTCTTCATTTTCTGAGGCACTGATTTTCTTCCTCATGAACTCACCACATTCTAGATGCTCCTCCCCGCCCTGCTGTGAGACACTGACTGCAGGAGGAACCCTCCCTTCTGACCTTTTCAGAGTAGTGTTGTGAGTCTCCACCCCCAGACAGAGCCTGCCATGTTTTCTTCCCACAGCCCTTCCTTAGGCCTCCTGTTCATGAGTGGAATTTAAATCAGATTAGCAGGGCTAACTTCTGCCTCCATTAACTTCTATTTCCATCTGACTGTCTCAGACACTAGGTGTCACCTTTTAATGAGTTTTTTTAGACCTCATTTATTCAAATAGAAAAAAGACTAACATATATAAATATTAATAAAACAAGGCCTTAAAAAGCTGAATTAAAAATTAAACAGAGTGCATGGCATGGTAGAGAATATCTGTAATCCCAGAACTTGGGAGGTAGAGGCAGAAAGATTACAAATTTGAAGCCAGCCTGGGCTACATGATGGATCCCTATTTCACACAAAAAATAAAAACAAATAAACAAAAACCAAACAAGCAAAAAATCAAACCAAATTCTCACAGAGTAAAAGGTCTGTAGTTGGTTTTCACTTCTCCCTGAAAATAAGTCTGGTCAACACAAATGTTAAGTTTCAATATCCAGAGCTGGGGGTGTGGCTCAGTGGTAGAATACTTACTTAGCAGATACAAGGCCCTGGGTTCCATCTCCAGTATTGAAAAAAAAATTTCAATATCCAAATGCAACAAATCATCCCTTTCACAATTCAAAACAGAGTCATAATAGAATGCAACAAATTATAAAATTTTAGAAATTAAAAAACAACAGATTAGAGATTTTCCTGCCATCCTCCCTAGTTCCCATGTCACTTCTTACACTGTTTGTCCTCCTCAGGATGTATTTGTGTGTGTATGAATGTATGCATATGTGTGTATGTGCATGCATATGCATGTATGTGTGTGCATATGTGTGCATGTGTGTGTGTGTGTGCATCAGCATTTGTCCACTACCTCCAGGGATGGTAGTATGGCCATGCAGTATTCATGGCAGGGCAACAAAATTTCTCCTTCTTTCTAATCCAGGACCATGAAATTTCTCTTTTATATTATTATCATCCACTTCTTCTATAGTTTGAACTAAGAATGGTAAATAAAATGGGAAAGGAATGTAAGAAAAGCATGTACAATGTGAGAAGAGAAAAAAAATGTTTATGGTTTCCATTAGCTCAAAACAGACCTCTTCATGAATGCAAATAGCATGCTTCCTATGAGACAAATGTGAATAATTTCATCAACACATCAAAATTAAACCAGCAAACTAGGCAGAAAGAAAAATAAAACAAAAAGCCAGGTTTACCCGCATGTTTTGTTGGATCATAAGACAAAACAGATAGGAGGTACTGGAACCCTTTTTCCAGGAGGGACAGCATTACATCTGTATAACTGAAAAGAACATAAAAAGGTGTATGTTACATTTCTGTACACATGTAGAGGCTGAGCACACAGGGCAGGGAAGGGAGCCAGCATTTACCCTCATCAAAACTACAGAGTTTATGATTTGCAAGCACAAAGCCCTGACTCACCAAAACAAAGCAAAAACAAAAGAAAACAACAACAAAAAGCTATAGAGTTTAATTCTCTTGGCAATCACATGTAGTTGGGTTCTCATGTTGAAAGAAAGAACTGTGTTCAGAAAATTATGTCCTCTGCCTCCTTGCCTAGCTGGGAAATGGTAACGATTAGAAACAAGCTCAATCCTGCTCCTAGGGCCAGTCAGACATGAGGATATCACAGAAAGACACACAGAGGCTCCTTGCAGCCTGATGTGGTACCCAGGGGCCAGTGACCTTGGATATGTACTTCTTGAAGGACTGCCACACTTGTGTGCCAGTGACTCCCAGACCAGGCTGGTTATCAAAATCACCTAGGTGCATGTAGAAAGAAATCACCTAGGTAAAGGCTGTGAGGGACAAGTAGAAGAGATGGCAAGATGTCCTCCCTCTGAGGGAACAGTGTAGGGATTAGGAAGTAGACTGAGATGCCTGAGCTCAAACTGCAACTCTTCCACTTACTGGCTGTGTACATTTGGCAAATTCTGAACTCTGCGGCTCAGCACCCTCGCCTGTAAAGTGGGGTTAACACGAGTCACAAGCTTCCAAGTTGTGAGAATCCAACGAGTGGGTACATATAAAGTGGTACATGGTAAGCACTTACGGTTAGCTATCATTATTCCCTTTTGTACCTTCCACATAAAGTTCCCTAACACAGTGGATCGCTCTTCCTTGCAAGCCAAAGAGCCAGTCCAAAGTGCACTGTTGAGCAGAATCCTTTACTTTTTTACATTCTGATGCTTGTTGTTAAGAAGAGGTAAGAGGAAAACTTGCTGTCCCCATGAAGCTGACCAGTCAGACTGGCTTGGTCCTCTTGGAATGTGGACTGTCAGTCAGTCTCAAAAAATTCAGAAAAATGAGGGAGGTACACCCCACTGGTTTCTGTTAGTAAGAGACTCCAGAATCATGGCAGAGAATATGTTAGTACTTGATCATGTACAATATAAGTAGAAGATGGTAAGGACTAACAATAGTACTGAGATAAAGCACTAACAACATACTAAGTACTAAGATGCAAAGTGCCACTACAAAGATAAAGCAATTTATCTTTCTACTGATTCAAAGCAAGTAGTTATTCTGGTAACAAAAAACCAATGTTCTCAGTGTGCTTAGGGCTATAACCCCCTAACACACACACACACACACACACACACACACACACACAGCTGGGTGGCAAAGGAAGAGGTAGAGCAGGGAACTAGGGAGGACACAGATACTACTATGGTCAAGCTAGAGCTGGATGCCCTAAGTAAGAGTCCAGATGGGGCCTCACTGCCCCTTGTTAACCATGAATTAAGCAGCTCAGAGTCCACTGAAATGGCCTTTATATCTAAGGACAGAAAAAGTAGCACTGCTTGTCAGGAAATAGTGTATTTGCCTTGCTCTGTGTACAGTTTGCTTTTGTTCATTTATTCATAGTATTTACTGAGCTTTTACTACATGCTAAATATATACTATGCCAAGCACTGGAGAAATAGCTGAACAAGTAGCTGGCCATCCTTGGTCTGCATTTGATGTCATCTGGTTTGATCCTTACTGCCTTGTGGATTTTACTAGGGAAACCAGAGGGACTAACCTCAAAGAAGAGGAGGAGCCAGGTGCTTGAGGCTCATGCCTATAATTCTGTGTACTCAGGAGGCAGAGATCAGGAGGATCACAGTTTAAGGCCAGCCCCAGGCAAATAATTTGAGAGACCCTATCTCAAAAAAACCCAACTCAAAAAAGGACTGGTGGAGTGGTCCAAGTAGTAGAGTGCCTACCTAGCAAGCATGAGGCACTGAGTTCAAACCCCAGTTCACACACACACACACACACACACACACAAAAGGAAGAGGAACATCCTTAGGTGCAGTAGGAAATACCTACAAATTTACACATTTCACAGAATGAGTTTGCTATACAAATGTGTTTTATGGAGCTGAGGTCTCAGATGGCAGTTTGAGTTGATAAAGGATGCTGAGGTCACATTAGAGATGGAATGTGACATGATATGGATGTTTGGGAGAAAGAACAAAGCTAGAAATATAAAAATTATAAGGCTAAAAACCAGGCACATTTGTTCAGTTGCTTTCCCAACATTTGACCTAGTATATATTTAGAACATAAGAACTCGATAAATATTTGTTGAGCCACTGAATGAGAGTAACAGAATTAAAGTGATCATTAAGGAGCAAGTACAAGAGAAAAGTAGAGACGGGAGCATCGCTCAGAGCAAGGTGTTTGCCTAGCATGTGCAAGGCAGGCCCTGGATTTGATCTCCAGCAGCACAAAGAATGAGGAAGGCAGGGGAAGGAGGGAGGGAGAAGAAAAAAAGAGAAAGAGAGAAGCAAAAGGCTTGAGGATGGTTTTAGGCATGTGAAGGAGAAGAGGGCTGCAGAAAAGAGATAAAGGGAGAATGATGACAGAAAGAGGAAGGAAAGCTATGTGTGGTAATGCAAACTAAAATCCCAGCTACTCCGGAGGTAGAGGCAGAAGAATCAGTGAGTTGGAGGGCAGCCTGGGCTACACAGCAAGACTGTGTTGCAAAATAAAAAAGGGACTGGGGTATAGCTCAATGCTTGCCTAACACAAATCAGGTCCTGAGTTCAACCCCCAGCATCCATCCCCACCTCCAAAAACAAAAGCATAAATTATCATTGGAGGAAAACAAAAGCATAAATTATCATTGAAGGAAAGAAAATATGTCCATTTCTGATGTCACATGTTTTAATTTTAATAATTAGGTTTGGCGTGCTCCCTTTGGCAGCACATATACTAAAATTGGAACCATACAGAGAAGATTAGCATGGCCCCTGCGCAAGGATGACACGCAAATTCGTGAAGCGTTCCATATTTAAAAAAAAAAATTAGGTTTGGCAGTAAGCTTTACTCATGAAATAACTAAACTAATTTTTTTGAAACAATCAAATTTTAAAACTAAAAATTTTATTTCATTGATGTGAAGCCTGGACTTTTTGATGTTCAGAGTCTGCCTTTATACAAAAAATAATTCAACATTTACGTGCTATATCCAAGTAAGCATGTAAGTTGTATTTTTTGCATTTGAAGGTGTGATCACACTTTTCTCATATGCTTTCTCAAATTTTATTTTTTTCCTAATAAGATTAGGAATAATAAGAATGCTCACCCAAAACATCAATAACAAATGCTCTAATCATATTAACAGCCAGTATTTTATAGTTCTTTGGAGCTACCAAGGCATTTTACACACACACACACACACACACACACACACACACACACACACATTTTTTTGTAAGACAAGGTCTTACTATGTAGCCCAGGCTGGCCTCAAACTCACAACCCTCTTGCTTCCGTCTCTCAAGTTCTGGGATTACAGGCATGTACCACCACACCTGGCTCATATACTTCATTTCTTTTAATTTCCACACCAACCCTTTGAGGAAGTCTAATGTAGGGATGAGGTGCAAACTCTGAGGGCTAGAGTTTCAACTCTGTCATGTACTAACTGCCTAACTTGGGACAAGTAACTTAATGTCTTTGACCATAGTTTTCTCATCTGTATAATGGAATAATGAAAGCATATACCTCACAGGACTCTTGGGTGGTTTAAATTTGCTAATTGCATTAAGTATTTCTAACACTGTCTGGTATAGGGCAAGAGTCCAACAGATGTTATTGGTTGTGACGATGGTGCTATTTAGAAATATTCCAATTTTGTAGAGGAGTAAACTGAGACTTAGAGAAGTTGAGTACTTTGACCAAGATAACACAGCTAGGAAGTGACAGAGCCATAAGCGTTACACGTCTCTATAGCAAAATCCTATATGTTCCTAGAACTCAGCTAACAAAAAAACAAAACAAAAAACCCCTGCAAAAACCTCATAATTAACCAGAAGCAGGAGTGGTAGTGCACACTTGTAATTGCAGGTACTCAGGAGGCATAGGTAGAAGGATCACAGTCCAAGGTTGGCCCAGCAAAAAGTGGGAGACCCTCTCTGAAAAATAACTAAAGCAAAAAAGGTTTGAAGGCATGGCTCAAGTGGTAGAGCTCCTGCCTAGCAAGTGTGAGGCCCACAGTCAAACACCAGCACTGCAAAAAACAAAACCAAACCAAAAAAAGAAACCAAGTTACATACCGTTTTCGATCACCTGGATTGATGGCAACTAATGCTCCTCTATCCCAAATCCTGTCAAATTTGCCAATATTTGCTCTATCAGAAAGAAAGAGGGAAAAGTGCAATGTTTTCTATTTGAAAAATCAAATCTTGAATAAGATTTATATTGCTCTCTGTGGCACATGCTGGCATTTCACCAGTTGTCAATGAATCCGGATCTCACAACACCTTTTCTTCAGAGGTCAGAGGAGTTTGCTGACCTGGGTGTGGGAAGCTGGCCATCTCCTCATAGTTTTAGGACCCTGCAGTAATAGCCTCCCATTCTGTTATGACTTGGGAGCATGAAGTAGGAACACATGGCCATGTGTGACAATTCTACTCCTGGCCCCCGGCTTGAGTATGAGGGACTTTCAGGAGATGAGATCTTGTCTTCTTATGCACCTTGTAATTCATTTTTGTTACAGGTCAGGTGCAAAGTAGACGATCCTATTGTACTCTCCCTACCTTTTCCCTACCTGCCTTGGGTCATAATAATGTTTTTCACAGTGTAGAAGCTATCCCAAAACAACCATATTAAGTTTAAAGACAACGAGGCTGCAGTAAGAATAACTGCAGAACAGAGACTCAAATCACTGCCTCATAGATGCTACACAAATGGATGAGAATGATGAAAAGAACCTCACTCGGTGCTGCTCAGAAAGCTTCCACATTTAAAAAAAAAATGCAGATGTAGTGTTCAGTCTTACCTGGGCAGATCGAAAATGCTGCAACAGTACAATGAAATATTCCCTGAAGAACTCTGTAATGAGAAAATGAAAAGGTTTTTTTCTGTTTAATCAGGAAATATTTGAATAGTCAAGGAAAGAAAAGAAAGTCAAGCAAAGCTAAGGGGGCAGAGAGAATGCATATTAAACACAGTTATAACTTTACTGCAGTTTAACATTACTTTACTTTTTCTTTTAGAACCCATGTGGGGTTATTTACATCAACTCAAAGAGAAAAATCATAAAGATTTTTCATAAAGATCAGTCAGCTGTTACTTGTTTCAGAGCTTGTTAAAATTCTAGCAATGTTTACTTCAACAGAGCCCTGACATTTTCACTCTGCTAAAGATAAATCCTCAAGTCAATAATTACCAGTCATGCTGATGCACAGTGGTCAGATATTTTAGAAGTTGTTCAGGAAAAGCACAATTTTGCTTGCTCCTCTGATTTCCCTCTGCTTTCCTCTCAACTATTCATTTATTTACTGAACAGTTAGTGGACAGGATACCTGACCTGGGTTGTAGATAATGGATGTGAATTTGATAGTCTCTGATCTCAGTGAGGACAGCCTAGGGGAGCAGAGAGGCATGGGTACAGAGAAACACTCTGAGATGGAATGACCCATATGATGGAATGGCCTGTACGGTTATGGTTGTATGCCTGAGAACAATGTGAACAAAGAAGTCAGAGCAAGAGACTGCGTGGGAATGTTGAGGATGGTTGACCAAGAGGTGGCCTCCAGTAGGGTGTCTTGATGCATCTGCTAAGATTTAAGTGGGAGGTGGGCTAGGGGTGCACTCTAGAGGGGGGAGTAACATGAAGCAGACTTGAAAAGTCTGGGATTGGGGAGATGGGGTGAAGGGCAGGGTAGGTGGTATGAGACATGCCAGATTTGGTTCTGAAATTAGGTGTGGACACAAGTTCCCAGGTAGAGGAAGAGGGTCTTTGAAGACCACCCTGGAAGTACTATGAGGGTCTGCTCAGAGAGTCAGGGCCTGGAGATCCGAAGGATCTCAAGTTTGACTGCAGACTTTAGACAGTACTGACAGCGGAACTCAACCCTAGAAGATTCTGATTGACTTGGGGGTGAGGCCTTAGCCTTGGAATTTTTAAGAGTCATGGATGATTTTTAAATGTGCAGCCAAGACTAGGAATCATTGGCCTGAGAGAGGGTTGGAAACAAACCTGGCTTCTTTGGATTGAAAGAAACTAGAATGCTTAGGCAATTTGAGAATGGGTTCTGAGCGAGCTATAAAATGAAGTACTACCAAGCCTCCTATTGATCTGAGCAATTAGTTCCAATATTTAAAAACAGTATTTTATACACTGGCCAGTGGACAAATGGACAATGGCCAGACCATTTACCTACCACTACAGGACTCTGACCCACAACCTCTGTAGCAACCTGGTCAATGATTACCTGCTTCCTTAATATTTACTAGCACCCACTTCCAACTCACACCAACCAGAGAAAGCCAAATACACTACCCAGCCAACCACATAGGATACCCAGTTTCTAGTTGTCCACCTCTAATGTCCACACACCAACAGCTCCACTCAGTCCACACCTGAAGCTTCTGTTTTTCCCCACTTTGAAGCCTTCTTGCTCCTCTTCCTGCTTTTGAATCTCTGGCAAGCATAGGTAGTCGATTGTCTCTTGACAAATATCTTCTGCGAGTTCTGGTTTGGGTGGCAGTTATTTATTTCTGCATTATTACTCCAAGCTAGTGAAGCAATTTCCCTGGATTCCTCTGGTCACAGGATGGAGAAAACTCTCAAACCTATTGTTTCAGTCCAAACACTACCCTCTTCACCATTCCAGAGGTCCTTAAACTTACCATCTCCAGGACAAACTCATTTTCTCTGGTCTTCAACTTTGTTCTTTATTCTCTGCTACCCAACTAGTTATCTGAGCTGGAAATGGGAACTCACTACCTTCTTTAACTGCACTCAATCAATAAATCCTGCCAGTTTGACATCCTAAACCTGCTTTAATTCATCCTATATACTCTGTATGCCCCCATCACTCTCCTTGTTCAGTTCTTCACGATCTCTTTCCTGGACCACTGCCCACAGCTTCCTATTTGGTCTCTATGCCAGGAGACTACTTCCCTTCAAGTCACTTCCCATGAAGCTATAGGGTGATTTATGTCAAAAGAAAATCTGAATGTGCCTTGTTCCTACTTAAAACCCTACTGTACAGAATGAAGTGCTAGCTTCCCAGGGTACTGAAGACCATGGACTTGAGTCCTGCCTATCCTTCTCCTTGTCTGTCATTATGCATCAAGAGGCACCCCAAGCTAGGCTGGGAAACTCCTATCATTCTCTTAATCCCTGTGTCATTACACTTTTCTCCATATGTTATACATAGCTGTCACTCTTTCTTTTTCCTCCTAAAGTAAGAGATTTATTAGAGTAGGGACCACATTATCTTTTATTTCTTCAATGTCTTATACAAGGTCTGACACCTAACAGGTTCTCAAAAAATACTTATGCTCGCCTAGCATACACAGGCTATGGGTTCCATCCCACACACCACAAAACAAACCAAAACACAATATAGAGGCTTTGACTTCAGCTTACACACACACACACACAAAGAGAGAGAGAAAGAGAGAGAGGGAGAGAGAGAGAAAGAAAAACAGGATATTATATAACCCATGCAGGGTTCAGACTCTGTGTAGCCCAGAGCCCAGGCTGTCAGCGAACTCCCAATCGTTCAGCCTGAGCCTCTCCAGTGCTTGGTATCTATCTATTTTTTAAAAAATTTTTTTTGGCAGTGCTGGGGATTGAACCCAGGGCCTTGTACATGCTAAGCAAGCACTTTAACACTGAGCTACATCCCTAGCCGCCATCTATATTTTTAAGCCCTAGCTCCTCACTGTATATAATGTCTAGGCAAATCTGTGTGATAAAGAGGAGACATCGGACACTTGTATAGTGTCCTCAACTACTCATGCTGGAAAGAAATAATCTACCAAAATCAAAACAAACCTTAAATACTGTGGCGCCGGGAATTTCGGTGATTGGTTCTTCTGAGTAAGAAAGATTTTGCTCCTTAAAAAATTCCCGTATCCCAAGTTCACTGATTTCCACACCAACTACACTGTGTCCCCGGTCTGCAAACCTGCATACAATCAAATTTACACTTAAATTTTTACTTCAAATATACTACTAAAGGGATATACTCTAGTAAACATTCTTTACTGGGTTGGGGATGCAGCTCAGTGGCAGAGTTACTTGCCTAGCACGTGCAAGGCCTTGGGTTCAACACCCAGCATCAAAGGAAAACAAAAAACAAAAAATTCATGCATTTTCTTTAATTTAAAGGGATTCATATGAATTCAGGTTTATGAGGTTTCATAGGACATGTAAGATAGTGGGTCTTATATCCTCAAACCTCACATTATATAGAATTCTGAAAAAATGATTCATACGAATGACCTTAGGAAAAAATTAAAATTTGTAAAATTGTATCCTAAAATATTGAGTTAATAAAATGTATTTGGGTAGATGAAATGCTTTTTATTTTCCCCAAATCAGCACTGTCCATGAAAATTTCCTGTGAGGATAGAAATATCTCCATCTGTGCATCCACAATAGCAGCCATTAATCATGACAGCTACTGAGCACTTGAGATATAGCCAGTCTATCAGAAGAACTAAGTTTTAAATTTTATTTTGTTTACAGTTAAATAGCCATGCCAAGTGTAGTGCCCCATTCCTGTATTCCCAGTACTTGGGAGGCTGAGGCAGAAGTATCTTGAATTCAAGGCTAACCTGCACTGCATAGCAAGACCCTGTCTCAGCATAAAATTTTTTTAATTAAAAAAAATAGGTAGCTACATGCGGCTAGTAGTTACCATATCAGAGTGTACAGCTCTAGAACACTACCATCCATTTCTACAACAATCTCATAACTTCTTATTTATAATAAACACTATCCAAAATGTATTTTACTACCACATGTAAATAACTAACATTTTTTTCTGGTAAGCTTTAAAATTATAGATTTCACATCTTTGGGGTCTTAGATTCAAGAGAAAACAATACCAATACCTAGACAAAGAAATGAGTTTATGTCAAATTACATAAAAACATAGTTCTGCTATAATGCAATGTATGCCTTCCTAAAATTCACCATTACTTGCCAGGTGCTGGTGGCTCATGCCTGTAATCCTAGCTACTCAGAAGGCAAAGATCAGGAGGATCATGGTTTGAGGCCAGCCTGGGCAAATAGTCTGTGAGACCCTTTCTCAAAAAAACCCATTACACACACACACACAAAAAGGGCTGGTGGTGTGGGTCAGGGTATAGGCCCTGAGTTCAAGCCCCAGTACAGAGGGAAAAAAAAAATACCATTACTCCACTACTCAAGATCATGCAAAGAAGCCACAGACTAATAGAGAATGGAGTTTGGGACCAACATTACATTAAAAATCTTTGTCAGTGGTGCATAAAAAAGAAAAAAGACACAAATCTAATAATAATGGTACATATCTTAAATGGTTACGAAACAAATACTAAAACGTGGTACCTTACCTTGAAAAACCCTAAAGTTTACTTGTAGAAGTGGGCATTGGGAGGCTGCAGGTTGTGAATTACTGTGAGGTGATAGAAGGAAAATTGAATGGAAAGTTTCTAGCAGTAGGTGTGGCTGGGAGAGGCTCATGGTGCCTGGGGTAAACTGAGGTAGCAGGGTGATGTTTCAAGTGTGTACATGGATTTTGTCTATCCATACATGGCTTAAGTCATCTTACTATGTCTTTCCACTTTTACTTAATGTTTCTTACAGATGAAATCACATATGAGCAAATGTGATGTTCACATGCTACTCAAATTGTTCCGATCAACTGAGTTAGAACAAAATCCACATTCTGAAAAGAGTAAGACTGACTGTCCCTATTATCTACACAGCAGACACACTTTCAATGGACAGAGCACGAACTTTTGTAGTCCTAAAATGAAACACACTAATAACTTGTCTTTCATATTTCACTAGCATACAAAGAATATGTTTTTTATTATTCACACCTTTTTTTTTTGTAGTGCTATAGTTTGAACTGAGGGCTTTGCATTTGCTAGGCAGGCACTCATACATAGTTTAGCTACATAAATGGAAATTTTTCTAATATAATAGCTTACATGCAATCTCAGTAGCTCAGTTCTGATGTTTTAAGTTTACTGTTATATTATTATTATTTTTTGCAGAACTGAGGTTTGAACTCAGGGCCTACACTTTGAGCCTCTCCACTAGTCCTTTTTTATGATGAGTTTTTTTGAAATAGGGTCTCAGGATGGCTGTCCCAGGATGGCTGCAAACCTTGATCCTCCTGATCTCTGCCTCCTGAGTAGCTAGGATTGCAGGCATGAGCCACTGGCGCCTGGCTGTGCTTATATTATTATATTGTGTGGGTGGTGCTGGGGATGGAACCAGAGCCTTGTGCATGCTAGGCAAATACTCTACCACTGAGCTAATATTAAGGGGTCAGCCCCTTAATATTTTTACTGCAAATGGCTTTAGACCCCAAAATATTTAACAACCACATTTAACATACTGTGTTCCTAATGTTGCCTAAAATCTCGCTACAACCACATTATTACCACTTATGATAGGATCACTACTACAATCTATTTACACAGACAATATTTTTTTCTATAGGTTGCTTCTAAAGTAACTCTCTGGTTCAGTGAGTTCAGCAATTTCATGGCCACTCTTGAATCTTAAGTCACAGCAGTCATCTCATATATGCTCTCAGCTACAAGTTTAAGAGTGTGGCCTGTACACCAGCTCCACTGATAGAAAGGGAACACAGTATTTTAAAGCTAGTATATTTTGTGTTTTCCATATAATTGTTGTTCCTTCCTGTTGAACAATCAAAGTTTTCAACATTTAAGCTTATAAATGAATGTTTGCCTTGGCAGGTATTTTGTGACTGTGTATTATCATTACAACAGTTCTGTATGGAAAATGATTTTCAGGTTTGTGACTTTAGGGCAACCCATACTAATAGTAGTTTGTTAATTAATTAACATGACTTCTCTTTGTACAGAATTACTCACAAAGGATGATTTCTTCACCAATAGTTTTACAACACTGATTCATTATAACAAAAACTCCTGTTTGCTCTTAGGGGAAAGGGAGAATTCAGCTGAAATGTGGATTACACTCCTGCCAAAAAAGTTGTAATACATTTGGTATTTTTCTGTCTACCTCCATTTCAAATATCCAAAGTTAACTTAGCTAAATTTCTAAACTACCTTCAAAGGGAAGATGCAAGCAGGAAGTCTGGTTTTTCTTCCCCATGAATTCCAAACTGGTTCTTTTCCTCCAAAAAGCAACATAGAGAGACAAGGTCATACCTACTTCAGCTCCCTTTCTCACTGTCTGAAAATATTATCTATAGTTATATAACTATCACTAAGAGGCTACCAAAAATTAAAGTATCTCTGTGCATTTTTCTGAGAATAGAATTTTCCCCTATATTTCATTAAATCACTCCAAGAATTGATCATCAAAGGCAAGTGTGTTAATGCTTATCTGCTCATACCATTTCATCTCAACTGCTTTTCCACAAAGAGGAAAAAATACCCTCAGTCCACTCTCGTGTTTAAGAAAAATATCCAAATTCTTCTTTAATAGCCTAGGGAGAAACAAAAGTTATTATAAAGTTTGTTTGAATTAGCCCCAAGCACACAAGAAAGAAGCACAATTGTATGACACTAAGTACTTTTTCATGAGTAGGTAATATTAATTATTATAATCTCCAGTTTAACATCTAAAGAAACAGGACAGTGAAGTAACTTGCTCACATAGCTAGTCAGTGGTATATCTGACTAACACCCTGGCTTTTCCTAGATTGGCAATTAAATTTTTTTAAAATTGTTTTTTCCTTGGTTGGTATGTTTTAAAAATTCTCTATTAACTACCAAATTTATGTTTTATAAAAAAATGATGTGGAGAGGGAGCCATTGGTTTTATGAAATCTTCAACATTTACTTTATGGACGTTTCCCTAAATAAGTGTTAACCTCTCTAGTTAATTTGCCATAGAGATGTGGCTATTCTAAGGCCATCCCATGACAGAGATGATCCATAACTAATGGCTCTGGAATGATATCTCACTTCTAGTCAGTGTACAAAGGTAGTGATGGTGCTGATGGTGATGGTGATGGTGATGCTGTCTCCTGGGAAGCAGGGGTGTTTGCCTGGAACAGGCTCCACCTGTAAATGACCACTTTACCCATCACTAGTCCCACCATATATTAGGGCTCCTTCAAAGATGAGTCTGCTCAACAGCCTAGCTTACGCTTTGTCTCTTCTTTACTCCGTAGATAACACCAGAAAGCCACCAGAACACCACCACTTTTGAGTACAAAGAAATGTGAGCATAAACATTGCTTCCATCTTATGTCTGTACAAACATGCATGATCAATTTGTATATGCTATGGGTGATTTTAGAAAACGACATATATTATAAATCTAAGATTTCACTTGTAAGTCACGTCGTTACTTATGCACTAGGAAGAAGAAACACGCCAATAAAACTATGATGTGTTATAGATGGATTCAGATTTTAGAGATGCTATATAATATGAAAAAAATTAAAGTATGCATCTTAAAAATCGATCCGATAATGTATACCTCTATCATTATTTCTATTTCAGTTTCCGATAGCAGTTCTGTCAAAGACCAAACACATCTTACTGATTTCCTTGTTCTTGATGAAATGCAGTGTGGCCAGTCACCCACTTGTCTTGCCATTCTTCCAGGGTTAGCACTCGGTTTTGCTGTGCCTCAGTATCAGGGTACTCTTTAATATCAAGTGACATTCTTGTATTAGCCATAGTTTTGTGGACACCTTTGCCTCACAGGCTGATGTCTTCAAATGCCTAAATGGAAAATATTTGCAAGGGCATGAAAGGGCATTGAAGTTTTACTGATGAGCTAAATGAAAACCTATTACCTGGGCTGAAGTTGTAGAGTACTTGCCTAGCAAGTACAAGGCCCTGAGTTCAGTACTACCAAAAAAAAAAAGAAGTAACCTTATCCTTGGCAGCAGCATGGTCTTTAAGAAATATTTCTACATAAAAAGAAATTACTTTTCAGTGAGTCTAGTAATAGATATAACTCATATTACACATTAGAAAAGACCTTTGAATAAATTGAATTATGCCTTAACAGTAGAGTAATAGTTAAAATTCTGACTTAAGTTAAAAGAGAGGACAAAAAAAAAATCAGGTATTCCACAGTTTATAGCTTTTGTAAGGTTAGAATTTTTCTAGCATCCTATACTTTAAAAAATTTTACTATTTACTTCTTACTTTTAATCAGTGTTGTAATCCACACAATTTGAAAAGTTCAAAAGATTTATTATGCAAATATCAGTTCCCATTCCCAATGTGAGAGGCAGCCACCTCTAACTTTTAGTTGAGTCATGCTGCTTTAATTAGCATGCTTCCTTTCTGTAGCATCTAGAAAAGGGAAGCATCTAGAAAAGGGAAGCATCTAGAAAAGGGAAGCACTTAGATGTCTTTACAACTTCCCAGCACACATATACCCCACCTGCTCATCTTTCTTCATGCCAATATACTCAAAAATATTTGAGGCATACAATATTACAACTAGGTAAATGCCACGTGGTTAAACCATATGTATTCTATGACTTTTCCATACAACTTTTTTATTCTGTAGTTAATAACTGTCATGCTTTATCATTTGTAAAGTTTCCATTTACTTCATACTAATTCAACTCCAAGTTCTGCCAATTGTCCCAATCTCCCATCACTTTATCTGCTCAGACATCAGATACTCTCACTTTTATCTTCTTGGAGAAGACTTTGCTGAGGCCCTCTTCTCTGGCTACTCTTAACTCCTGGTGGACAGCTAGTGTTCTGGGATCATTCTCGATCATTACCCTTCTTGTCTGAATCTATTTCTTCCATCCTGTGTTTTCTACACAGCTTCCCACAGCTTCTTGAGAAGGCGTGCACAGGAGAAATCACTCTTTGCATTTTGCACGAATAAAATGTCTTTAGACTATTCCCTATCCTTAATATGGAGCTTTGCTGGTATAGAATTCTTGGATAGGAATCATTTTCTCTCATAATTTGGAAGGAATCACTCCATTGTCGACTACCTTCCAGAGTTACTTCTTCAAAGACACAATGACCCTGATGTTGCTAGAGCTTATTGATTCTTATCCACCCAGATTAAAAACAACAAAAACCAAACTGATTGGAAGTTTAAGAATCTGGGTGGAGCTTAATGACTGTAAACTTCTCTGTAGTGTGAAGTGAGTAGAGTTCATTTGGAAATCTACATGTAATTTCAGGCTGAGCATCCCTAATCCAAAACTAATAAAAAAAATGCAAAATTCAAAATGTTTTGAAATCCAAGACTTTTTGAGAACCAACATGATGCTCAAAACTTTTCATATTTTGGAGCATTTCAGATTTTGGATTTTCAGATTAGGGATGCTTAACCAATAAAATCAATGCAAATATTCCCAAATCAACAACCTCCAAAATCTGAAACATTTCTGGTCCCAAGTATTTTGAATAAGGGATACTCAACCTGTACCTTCATATTCTCTGGGCTGGTTCCAGAGATGGACTGTCCAATTCTTGTTTCAGGAATTACGAAGTCCTTGGGGCCACTTTCTTTTCTGCACGGAAAGGAAAAGTAGAACTAGGGGAAGGTCCTAGCATCCAGTTTGCCTGTGTTTGGTGAATTCATATATTTCTAGTATGGTACTGCTATCTTCAACTGTGTATTGTAGCTTCCCATTAGGAGACTCTTTGTTTTACCCTTTGCAGAGAATAAACCTCCCAAAGCCTGTTGATGTGACAAGGGACAGAAGCAAGAAGAGAGAAAGATCCTGGGATTTAACCTTTTCTGAACCAGAATTCTAAGCAATCAATCTTCTTTTTTGCAACCACACCAATTCTACCACAGGAAGGTCCCTAAAGTTGTTAGTTCCCCAGTATTAGGGGTTCTATAATGCAAATAGGGTTGCTAATTGGCTATCCTCCTCATTAGGGTTTAAAATACAGATTTCTGGAATCTGTGAATCCTTTACCACTTACCATCAGCTTTCTAAATTTCAAAAGTTTAATGTTTTTGTGTCCTCTCCTGTTTTTCTTATCCTAGTGGCTTATGCCTTTAAAAATCCTGTTAGTTGGTGGGGTTTCAGGAGGGAGCAAAAATAGGTACAAGGGTTCACTATTTTCTATGTTTGTATTTTCAAATAGTTTTCTCACAGCTTCTTTTTTTGCATAGGAAAATGCAAAGAGAACTTCAGATCCATTTGAATGTGTAAGGAAATGCTTATCCTTGCCATTCTAACATAAGTTTCATTAGTGAAACTTATTTAATTTGTACTATACTACCGTGGTATTATTCATGATTCAAATGTAATGATAAACCCATAGAACAGCAAACATCACCCAAAAGGAATCTCAGGGAAAGCTCCCCTTTTGTCAACAAATTGGCTTTAGCATTTTCAGGATTAAGGAAGAACCACCTTAAAAAAAACAAACCATTTTCTGCTTTAGTTTTATTTTAAAATTTCATATCGGAGAGTAACTTTCCTAAGGAACTCAGTGAAGTTTTTTTTGCATATGAATATTCTGTTTAACATACCACAGAGTACATCTAAAGCACCCCAGTCCCCTCTCCCACCTCTCCCACAGCGTCACTCACTATTTGTGCAGTACTTTTTTTTTTAAAAGTCAATCATTAATACATCATAATACTCAGAAAGATCATTAAACCGTTCGACCTCATTATTCCCAGGTCTGGCTTCTGTTCCCTAAACCCCATGCAGGGGAGGACGCCCATTCCGAGAAATGCTATCAGAGGCTGTCGCACGGCCACCCTGCTGTCCCCTTCCTCACCCGCTGGCCCTTGGCACCGGGAGCCCTCCTCGTCTACAGCCGGCCGCCAGACACCGCCACTGCCACCTGCCCGCCCCCGGCCCCGCCCCCGCCCCCTCACCCCCTCACCCCCCTCACCCCTCTGTGCGCAGGCCCCGCCTCCTTCCCGGGCGCCGGGTCTGCGCAGCGGCGGAAATGGCCGGGGCGGGGCGAACGCCGCAGCGAAGGCGGGGGCGGGGTCCCTGCTGCTCACTGGTTCCGCCGGCTCCTCCCACCTCGGGTCACGCCGTGATAGGGGCGGAAGCGGCGGCGGCCGAGCGGGGGCTGCGGCTGGCGGCGCGGATTCTGCCGTCCTGTGTGCGCGGCTCCCGGGGCAGCGCGCGCCGCCTCGCGGGCGCTCCGAGGTGGGGGCTCGCGGCCCCGGGGGCGGGCATGGGGGCGGCGGCGGGGTTCGGGTGACAGCGCTGCACAAAGCGGCTGGGCTGGTGTACAAGCCCTGCTTCTTCCCCCATGCAGCGAGCGCCCCTCGCGCTGGGTAGTGGAGGGGAGGCGGACGGGCGTCCCAGAGGCTGGAAGGGGGGGGGATTCCCAGGCTGGGGTGTCGGGGTTCCCCGACCCGTCCAGTCGCGGTATTGCGGGTCTCCTGACCTCCCTACAGTATTTCCTTTCTGTTCAGCACTGCCTTGCCCCCAGGACTCCTCGCACCTCTTCCGCGCACAGGTGAGCCCAGGGGCTGCGGCTTGTCCCACTTTGGAGGCGCCTCGAGGACGCATTTCTGGGGCTGTCATCCTGTCCCTGGGGCGGGTGGCGGCCGTGGGGAGCCCCACGGTGGGGCTTCCCGGCCGGCCGTGGGGCGGAGCGTGGAGCCGGCAGGGCTCGCAGGTGTAGCCCCGCGCAGGGCCACCTGAGCAGCATTGCCAGGTTGCTGGGGTAACTCCTCCAGGATTGGACGCCGCGAGGGGGCGGCCCCCGAGGGGGCTGTTAGTTCGCTGGCCGCAGGTGGGAGAGCCAGGAAGAGGCAGGCCGAGCTGGAGAAGTTGGGGTTCGGCGATCTGGAACGCAGACAGGGGCCCAGTCTTCCCCTGGGAGAGCTTGCAAGCCTCCATAGACCACCCCAATTGGGGGAATCCCCCACTTCACATATGCATAAACAACTCCAGGCTTTGTCAGTTCTGTTATTTTTTAAATGCATTTTGGTGGGAAAGAGACAAGCGGGAAGGGTTTTCTTCCCGCACGTGAGAAAATTAGCATCAATAATTAATTGTCTTCCAGACAGGGAAAATAGTCAAGGGAATTCAGTATTGAATTATTGAACTGGACATTGAGCAATTGGATATTGAATTTTTCTGGATCCATATTTCTGAAAAATTGACTACTGTGGGACTTTAAAGTGCTAAACTTGCCGGGCGCCGGTGGCTCACGCCTGCAATCCTAGCTACTCAGGAGGCACAGATGAGTAGGATAACGGTTCCAAGCCCGCCTGGGAAAATAGTTCCCGAGACCCTAGCTTGAAAAAAACCCATCCCAAAAGTAGGGCTGGTGGAGTGGCTCAAGGTAAAGGCCGTGAGTTCAAACCCCTGTACTCAAAACCAAACCAAACCAAAAAAATAAATTTCTAGTCTCGCCGTACTTTAAGTGGCCCAAATCCCCGTTTTCAGTTGTCTTTGGAGTAATTTGTAGTAGTTTGCCCTATTCTTAAAAATTATGCTGGTTTCCCTGTAAGTTTTATTCTATCCTGGTGTCCTTTTTATTTACATTTTCATGAATTCTGTGTATTTTAAAAATTTTTTAAACTTTCTTTTTGGCCATTGCTAGGGTTTGAACTCGGGGATTCACACTTTCAAGGCAGGGTTGTGCCACTCTGCCAGCCTTTTTTATGATGAGTATTTTTGAGATAGGGTCTGGAGAACTGTTTGTCTGGGGCTGGCTTCGAACTGTGATCTCCCTAATATCTGCCTCCTGAGTAGCAGGATTGCAGGCTTGAGCCACTTGCACCCAGCTTAAAAACTCTTCTTTAATAAGCTCCATCAGAAACACCTGGAATAATTTAGGTTTCTACTTAAATCAAGATATTGATATAGCCATTTTATCTGTTTTTTAAAATCCACTTTTTCCTCTCATCACTTTAAAAGAAAACCAAAACTATACATTTAAAATTAGGAATATACTTCTAAAATATTGAACCTAAAACAGTTTGTTTGTATTTAGTTAGGTGTCTTTATAATTTGGAGAACCAGATGGGAAAGCTTTCAGTATATTCGTTTTTTTCTTAATTGACACTTTAGTATTTCTAAGATTATATTTAAAAACAGGATAATTTAAATCTTCCTAACTTACTTTTTTTTCCTTCATTTTTAATACTCAAGGACCCAGCAACAGTGGAAATAGATATTACATTAAGGTCCAAAAGGAAAGGAAGCACGTAACTCTCAATCATATAATTAAAGGTGAAAAGTATGCCTTAAAAACCTTCAGATTTAATAATGGCTTTTATAGCTAATGTGTTCATTTCCTGTTTAACCATTTCTTGAATTATATTCCTTATTGCATTAAGTACATATTTTCCAGTGTAAAGTTAAAATATTTGATGAAATTTCTGGAAAGTATGCTTGCTTTTGGAAGCCCAAGCTTTTCTAGGGTACAGATTAAGCGTTGCATGAACCTAGGCTGATTTCATTTATATTCCAAAACCCCATATTGAACTTCAAATATTTTTGCAATGATACTTGTATATATCATGTATTTACAAATACTATATATTTATATATAGCATAAATATTTAATTCATTTTATGAATAATGTGGGATGTTTATTTTACATATAAAAAGTTACATAATTTTATATATGTAAGAACTCATTTACACGAATGATTGCAAGCCTGGATAGCCATTTTGAAAATAAAAAAATGGGATCCAGAAGTCTTTATTGACTGTAACAGTGACTGTGTAGGTAGGTATTGTTAATGTTATTAGTGCTTTATCTAGCAGTACAATAGGTGCTATAGAACTAAATGGCAATTTATTTATTTTGGTGCTGGGGATTGATTTTGGTGCTTAGCCTCATGTGTGCTAAGCTTGCACACTACCACTGAGCTACACTCCCAGACTTCCTAAGTATAATTTAATGTTTAAAGAACTGTAATGCATTTTGGAATGTGTAGGATTTATGTATTTACAACGGACATTATATTGGATTTAAGAAAACCAAGACAAAATCAAAGGAAAATCATCCATAATACCGACATCAATATTTCTGAAAGTCAGTGTCGATGGCAGTTTTTCCACGTGATGTTAGTAATCCATGTTAAACAGTCTTGGGGACATTAGTATAACTCACACAGAAAACAGGATTATGGCTCCTTAAAGCTTTTCTCTCGGATTAAGAGTGTATATGTGGAATTCATATTCTATGGTACCACATTTCTACTTTGGAATTCTTTATTAATAGCTGTGTCCTACTTATTTTTCCATTCCTTCATTTTATGTGTGTGTATTAAACATGATGGATGAGGAGAAAAGATGAATGATAATTACAGAATCCGTATATTACTGATTACTTATGCTAAGCATTTTTGCTTCCTTACTGAAAATAATTTGTTTACTGGTCATTCTTCTCATGTTTCTCATTTTTACATGTGGACAGTAGTGGATAATACTGAGTACTTACATACTAGTACTGGTACACCAGATAGGTTATCTTGTGTAATTTTTGTGTTACGGCTGTGGAACACCCTTGCTATGCTCATTTGTACAAGAGCACTGAGGATTAGGGAAGGCAAGTGGTGGCTTTACCCTCAAGTAGTCTTAACTGCAGAGCCTACACGCATACCTACTAAACTGCGTAATAACTTTGCTCCAGACTCTTAAGAATATTAGCAGATGCTAATAGTGCCTTTTTGTGTGTGTGTATGGCTTTTTTTCTTTGCAGATTTTCTAGTACAATGGCAACCTCCCGAGGAAGGTCAAAAAAAAGAGCAGCTTTCGATCTTCCTCCGGATAACCTGCCTTTGAGGAGCTCCGGTAGGCAGGTATTACTCATTTGTTCATTCAGCAAACCTTTTTTTGAACACACATTAACATTATGACTGGTACTGGAGAATTAGAGATGCAAATATGTAACTCTAGTCCTCAAGTACAATCAGTGCAGTGCGGTTAAGTGAAAGGATGTAGAAAATAGTTGCATATCTGGTGAGAGAACTGCAAGGGAAAGGGCAGAGAGTGTGAATCACCATGGGGTTATCAGGGAATCAGCTGTGTGGCTGCTTCCAGGGTAGGAGGCTTGGGCCAGATCAGGCTTGGTCTAGATGTCATTCAGAGGAATTTGGGCTTCAGTTGATAATCCGTTGGTTGATATTATTGTGTTACCTGTAGAGTGCTTTTGTTTGTTTTTGGAGAGCTTTTATTTAATAAAGAAAAATTGCTTTAATTCTTTAGAGTTTTTCTACCTTTTTTTTTAAATCTATACTTCAAAAACAAGACAACTGAAAAGGTTGCACTATTCTAAGAAAAAAAAAATCTTACTTCGAGAATGATTGTTCTGTCACTCTTTCCTAAGAAAGGCTTATGTGAAGTTTAGTTCTAGATACCTATCAATAAAGTGCCGTTTCTATTTTCGATTTTATTTCTATTTTTGGTGGGACTGGGGTTTGAATTCAGGGCTTTGCGCTTGCAAAGCAGGCACTTTACCACTTGAGTCACATCTCCAGTTCATTTGGCTTTTGTTATTTTGGAGATGAGGTCTTGAGAACAATTTACCTGGGCTGTCCTCACACCACAATCTCAGCCTCTCAAGTAGCTAGGATTACAGGTATGAGCCACTGGCTTCTAGATTATATTTATGTTTTTATTTATTTAAAAAAATTTTTTTTGGCAGTACTGGGGTTAAACTTGGGGTTTTGGCTGTCAGTTGAGCCACACCTCCAACCAAAGTGCTATTTCTAGGTCTCTAGCAAGGTAGTGAATTATTTGCACAGTATAGTCATCAGGAAGTTTTACTGGCAGTCCCTATCCTGCTGCCAGGATATTGTTGACCTTTACATTTGGAACTTCTGTCACACGTGATTTCAGTAATAAACCTACTGCCATCACCCCTGGTCAGTCTAGTGAAATCTTAACCTCAGCTGGTTTTCCCACAGGCAAAGAAAAAAGTAACAGAACCAGCAGATGAGGATGAAGAGGTTGGGTCAGAGAAGAAGTACAGGAAATGTGAAAAGGCGGGCTGTACGGCCGCATGTCCTGTGTGCTTTGCAAGTGCTTCTGAAAGGTGTGTTCACAGGGCCTTGTGCTGTTGTCTGTGACTGTGCTTAGTGGGAGCATCATCCTTGAAGCTAGTTTTCCTAAAGATAGATACAGATACTGTAAGTCATCTAATAATGGACATTGCTACAGACCACCACAGCCTCCATTATACCTAGCCCACATCAACTTTGCAATGCAGGGTCCTCAAATGCAACCAGCCATAGCTGTACCTGTTCTGGTTGAGGGTGAGATGGGATATAGGGTGGCAACCCAGTAGAGAGGACTTGAGCTCCCAGTGGGGATCAGCATGTGTTTACACTCTACTTTTCTCCTTCATGTAACATGTCTTCTCTTCCCATATCCACATACAGGTCTCATAGAAACCACATAGTTAACTGCAATCTTGCCAGTTTTATTCAGATGGCACAAACAGGACCTTTTAACCTTCCAGAGAAAAAATTTCAGTTAAGGCTTAAGATTCAGTAAAACCTGGAAAACAAATCCCATTTGTTTTAAATACAAGAGTTGGTTGTGGTCGTGTTCAGAGTAGCGTGATTTTTCTTTCTTTGTGTTATCAACTGTTTGACAAGTTATGTTGCCAAGTGGCCTGCTTGATGTTCAGATTGCAGCTGGTCAGATGTTAACACACACGTGCACCTCCAACATGTTCAGTGCCTCACTGTTTCATCTCATAAGACACCATCTATGCGCCTGGAGTCTTAATCAGACTCCTGTGCCCTTGGCAGCCAGCAAAGTTAGGTACCATTGGTCTACATATAGTATCCTCACTGTGTATTACAGGTTAGGACAGCTCTAACCTGAAATCCAAAATGCTTTAAAATCAGAAACGATGATGCTACTCCTGACTTCATGTGATGGGCCTCAGTCAAAATTCATCTGCATCAAAAGTTTTATATAAAATTATCTTCAGATTGTATGTAGAAGATACATAAGAAACATGAATTTAATGTTTAAACTTGGGTCCCATCTCCATGATATCTCATTTTGTATATTCGCATATTTCAAAATCTGAAAAAAACATGAAATCCAAAACAGTTTTGGTTGCATGCATTTTGGATAAAGGATAATCAATTATTAGTTGGCCATTCTAATTTCCCCTGTTAGCTGTGGCTAAGGGGAATCCAAGTGGACATAATACAAAATGGGCTCATAGGATCTGCTTGCTAGATGTTTCTTTGAAAAGTGAGAAATATTTATTCATTACCAAAGCTACCTATCTTTGCTATTTTCAGATGTGCCAAAAATGGCTACACATCGCGATGGTATCACCTTTCCTGTGGGGAACATTTCTGTAATGAATGCTTTGACCATTACTACAGAAGGTTTGTTCACTAATGGTTTGAGGTTTCTGTGGTAGAGGGAACAGTGACGAGGGAAGAGGAGGGGCCAGACAGTTAAACTTAGTCCCTCAGCATATAGAATTAGACTGTTTCAGCCATATCTTTTACTGATGCTGTTGGTGTGTGTGCATGCTCATAGGTTCACACACTCAGGAGGGCTCAACAAACATCTGCCATGAGACAGTTACTCTTTTTTGTCTTTAAATTTCTCTGCTATTCTCTCACAATGCATAGAGGGTGGGGGTAGCTGACAACAGAGGGCTATGGACAGCCATGTGGCCATCCCTTATTTTCTTTTGCTTTATCCTTTGTACCTCCCTAGTTATCCTGGCTGGTGGCATGGAATTTTTATTGATCTTTACAGAGAATCAGACTTTGGTTTTGTATTTATTTTTTACAGTACTGGGGCTGAACTCGGACTCCTGCTTGCTAGGCAGGTGCGCTACACTTGAACCACTCCATCAGCCCTTTTTAGTTACTGTTTTTGAGATGCAGTCTTACATTATGCCTGAACTGGCCTGGACCACAATCCAAGAGGATTTTGTCTCCTCACATAGCTGAGATGACAGGCATGTACCCCTATGCCCAACCACTGGTTGAGATGGGGTATTGTGAACTTTTTTGCCTGGGCTGACCTCAAACTGCAGTCTTCCCCATCTCTACCTCCCAAGTAACTAGGATTACAGGCCCATCCTTGGTTTTGTATTGATTTTTGATTTCAACATACTCTACCCTTTTATTTGCTTTCTTCAGCTTGCTTTAGGTTTAATTTTCTTTTTCTATCTTCTTAAGTTGGAAGTTTAAAGTAGTTGATTTTCAGATAATCAGTTCTTTTCTGATAAATGCATTTAATACTATGAATTTCTAAGTACTGACTTATCTATGTCCTACATATTTTGGTAAGTTTTCTTTTTTCATTTTTCCTTTCTTGAGGCAGTCTTATTATGTAGCCTGAGTGCTGGGATTATAGGTATTCATCACCCATGCCTAGCTTAAAAATACTTTTTTTAATTTCCCTTGACTCTTTCTCTTTGATCTAAGGTTATATAGGAGAAAGTTGTTTAATTTCCAAATAACTGTTCATACTGTTTATGTTTTAAGTAATTATTGATGTAATTGGATGAAAAGAAATCACCTTACTGTTTTCTATAATAGTGTATTTTTCTCTGTTGCTTTTTTTTGCCTTTTTTGTTTTTTTGAGTATGTGTGGGAGTATTGGAGTTGAACTAGGCCTTGTACTTGCTAGGCAGCTGCTCTGTCACTTGAGACACATCCCTGGCTCTTAATTGAGCAGTCTTATGATTGTGGTTTTTTTTTCTTTCTGGTATTGGGGTTTGAACTCAGGGCCTCTCGCTTGCTAGGCAGGCTTTCTACCACTTGAGCCACTTTGCCAGCCCTATGATTGTATTTTATTTCATCTACTGATGTCAGTTTTTAATGGCTGCCCTAGGATTTACTGTATACATTTGAAAATATTCTCATTCATCCTTGGAATAGTATTCTACTCTTGTTATTGGTTTTAGATACTAAAAGTGACAAAAACATACCCTTCTGAGAGTCTGTTGTATGAAGGCCATCGTAACTTCTTTCCTTGTATTAAGACTAGTGAAGTCCTTCACATGAGATTTATTGTCTCATATTTTGAAAACCTGATCAACTTATAGCTTGACATATTTATTTTTATTTTCAGCCATAAAGATGGATATGACAAATACATTACGTGGAAGAAAATATGGACCAGCAATGGCAAAACAGAACCCAGCCCCAAAGCATTCATGGCAGACCAGCAGCTCCCCTACTGGGTAAGAAGAATGATGCATCACTTAATACATTTGTGGAGCTAAAAGCAAGAGGAATGGATGAAAATACCAAGTTTTAGGAAATCTTTCTTTTATTACACTTATTGTTCCTTCTAATGATTATTAAATGTTTTAAACTATTGTAGAAAGCTTAATTCATCATAATCTAAGGAAGAAATTAGACTCACTGTCCCTGGTGATAGCCTTTGTTGAGTTTATATATGTCCTTTTAGGCCTTTTCTGTTTATATTTTTTATGTTTAAACATAATTTTGTGCTTTATGTGCAAATCTTAATTACATTTAAAAATCATACTTTCAGTATAATTTTTTTTTACAACTTTTAGTTTATCTAGCATTATATTCATTTTTCATTTTGTTCTTTGAAAAGATATTTTAATAATTGCATATATTATATAAATATTTCTCTAACAAATGATTTGCTGATTTTTTCAATGTAAGGAATTCTCAGCTACTCTGCACATACATAAAAATTCACATAACATAAAATTAATCATTGTAGTGTTTATCTTTTGGTGTTGGGGCTTGAACCTAAGACCTTGAGCATGCTAAGTACATGGCTCTGAGCTATACCCTGACACCTAAAGTAAAGTACAATGTAGTGTATTCAGTATTGTGCAACCATCACTTCCATCTAATCCCAAAGTATTTTCATCACCCACAAAGGAGGCCTGGTACCCATCAAACAGCCACCCTCTAGTCCTCCTGCCCTTCAGCCATGTTTCCTGTAAATAATCCTGCAGTGTGTGACCCTTTCATATCCGGCTTTTTTCCCTTGGCATAATGTTTTGGGATTCATTCACATTGTAGCATACATCAGTATTTCATTCAGCTTTATGGGTGAGTAATATTACATTGGAAGGATTACATTTGTCGTTTGATGGATGCTCAGGTTGTTTCAGCCTTTAACTATTGTGAATAGTGTTGCTGTGAACATTCATATACAGATACTTGTTTGAATACCTGTTTATCATTCTTTAGGTCTATACCTAAGCATAGAATTGCTGGATCATAGGACAGTGCTGTGTTTACCTTTTTGAGGAACTTCTAAATTCTTTTTCCATAGTCACTGCATCATTTTTCATTCCCATCTCCAGTGTGTAAGGGTTCACATTTCACCAACTCTTGTTTTTGTTTTTATGCTAGTCATCTGAGTGTGAAGTGGTAGCTCATTGTGGTTTTGATTTGCATTTCCCTAACGACTAATGAATGCATCTTTTCCTGTGCTTTTTGGCAGTTTATCATCTTCGGAGAAATGTCTATTCAAGTTCTTTGCCCATTTTTAAGCTGAGTTGTCTTTTTGTTATTTAGTATAAGAATTCTTTATATGTTATGGATGTTAAGTCCTCATCAGATACATGATTTGCAAATGCTTTTTCTATAGGTTGTCTCTTTATTTTGCCTTGTTTTTTGATTTTTGGTCAAGTTCAGTTTATAAGAGTTTGTTTTAGCTCTTAATTTAGATATTTGATCCATTTTGGGTTAATTTTTATATATGTATGAAGTTAGATCTGATTTCATTCTTTGGATATGGATATCCACACACTTTAAAAATAATTTTTATTTTGAAATAACTGAACTTTAATAGAAAGTTGCAAAGATAGCATAGAGTTCTCATATCTTTCACCCTGTTTGCTCTAACAGAACTATCTTACATACCGTGATTGTTTGTCAGACTGAAGAAATTAACGTTATTGGTACAGTACCAGTAACTGCATTACAGACTTTAATTGGATTTCATTAGTTTTGTCACTAATAACCTTTAATGTTCCATGATCCAATCTATTATATCACATTATTTGCCTTTAGTGTGCATACTTTTTGAATGATGTTAATACATTTAACTCTGATTATTTCCTTAGACTTGAGCTGAAAATTTTTCTGACAACAGTTCTCAGAACGTTTTTACACTTTCTTGTTGTCTGAACTTGTATTGAATCAGAAATTACCCTGGTAGGCTAAAATATATATGGGGACATGTGGTGATGCAAGGGGGAGAAAAATACCAGGATTGTTAAAAAGTTAGTCAAAGGGACTGGGGATGTAACTCAGTGGCAGAGTGCTTTCTTAACATGTGCAAGGCCTGGGTTTGACTCCCCTGTGCCAATAAGTAAGTAAATAAAAATTTAAAAGGTTGGTCAGTTCACATGGAGAAGATGGCAGAGTAAATGATGGAGCATAGAAACAGTAGCTCACATTAACTGATTTACCGATCTTGATTTATTTCCCATCTAGGTTCAGTGTACAAAACCTGAGTGTAGAAAATGGAGGCAGCTTACCAAGGAAATCCAACTAACTCCCCAGATAGCAAAGACTTACCGGTGTGGTATGAAACCAAATACTACTACTGTTAAGGTATGATTCTTGCTGGTGTTCCTTTTTAATTAATTGATAGATTGACTCAACTGTCAGTAAATAGGAATAATATATATTTTTCATCTCATGTATTAATTGTTGTCTCAGGTTTGTATTTGTCTTCGTATACTGGAAAGAATCCCAACCACGATGGGTTAACAGATGAAGGATTTTGTTTCTGCCATTGTAAGCAGTTTGGAAATAGGCTTTCCAGGGTTGGTTTAGTTACTGGAGGAAGTCTCCTAGTTTCCAATCCAGCCATCTTCAGTTTACCTTCCATCCTTAAATTCATAGGAGATTGCTGCTCTGCCAGCCATTGTGTCCAAATTCTAAGTAGAAAAGAGGGAATAGGCAAAAGACAAGAGAGGTGTTCCAACTTAGTCTGTCCCTCTTTTATTGGGGAAACAGGAGCTTTCCTGGAAGTACCAGCAGTAGATCTGTTTATAGCTCATTGGCTAGAGCAGAATCGTGGGACTGTTCTGGACTGCATTGAGGACAAAGGAAGAAAATAAGAGTGAGCATGCTGCAGAACCAAACGAAAGTAGGATCTCATTAGTGAGGAAGAAGAGATGAATGGATTTGTTTGGCGGTTAGGAATTAACTATAGATGGTACAATGTGTGCCTGTGAACACACACTCCAAAACAAACAAACAAACAAAACAAAACTAGAAAGGGCTAGGGACATGGCTGAAGGGTAAAGTGCCTGCCTAGCAAGCTTGAGACTCTTGAGTTCAAATCTCAGTACTGCCAAAAAAAATTGAAAGATTTTTGCAAAGTGAAATGAGGATAGTGTTAATGAACATTTAAGAGTTAGATAAAATTTACTTATGAGAAAATAAAAAATCTAAGTATTACCTGGATATAATCTTAGGATTTTGAAAAACGTAATGAAAAGTCCCTCTGAACAATCTCCTCATTCCAGTTTTAATAAGTAAACTCTTAATGATTTATTTATCCTAGGAGACCATTTTTACTTTTGTTTTTGAGGTAGAGTATCTCTGTGTAATTCAGGCTGGACTCAAACTTGCAATCCTCTTGCTTCAGCATCCCAACTGATGGGATTACAGGTATGCATGTTTATACCAGACTGAGAACTTTTTGAAATGCATTTGATACATTGATACGATAGGTGCTTGAATTTTGTTTTATTTTTAAGGCTATCAATAGGAATGTCTAAACTTTTTAAAGATTTAAAGACTTATGAGTCACAGTGATCATTATATCGATACCTTGCCTGCATGAAGAGGTAGTATTTATAGTAGATGTAAGATTGCATCTCATTTTTTTCAGGTGTTGTAATAATATGCATGGAGTTTAAACTTACTGTGCTTTGGAAAGTACAGCAGTTTTTAGCAAGTGTGCCTATCAAAGATGTATAATATTTCATTCACGCTAAACAATTCAGTTATTTCTTCCCTTCTTCTTAGAGGCAACTGTTGCTGGCTACTGTGGTTTCCATCCCCACAGATTAGTTTTTCTGACTCTTGAACATCATTAAAATGGAATCAGCCAATATGTTCTTTAGTGTTTGGTTTCTTTCACTGAATTGTGTGGATTAGTAGTTTCTTTTTATTACTGAGTAATATTGCTTTGTATATGTATACCATATTTTATTTTAATTATTATTGTGAAGGACATTTGTGTTTTAAATTTTTTGCTATATGAAAACTGTAGTGAATATTTGGTGCAAATGTTTTTGTGGGCCTGTGCTTTCATTGCTTGTAGATAAATGTATAAAAGTAGAATTATAGAGTCATATGGTAAATTTATTATGTTTAAAAACCTGCCAAGTGGTTTTTCATGACTGTTGTACCATATGACAGCATTTGGTGGTGGTATTTTGTTGTTGTTGTTATGACTATAGTGGGTATGTACTGCTGTCTCACTATGGTATTAGTTTGCATTTCTCTGATGAATAGGAATACTGAGCATCTTTTCTTGTATTTATTGCCAGTCATAGTTCCTCTTTGGGAAACAGTCTGTCCAAGACTTTTTAATTGAATCTATTTATTGGTTTGTTTAATCTGGACATGAGAATGTATTTTGAATATTTTTCCCAGCCTGTGTTTGGTTTTTTCACTTTGATCTTTTTGATGAGCAAGAATTTTTAAGTTGGAAGCACAGTTTGTCCACTTTCTTTTATGCTTAGTTTTTCTAAGAAACCATTGGCTACCTTTCACCTTACAAATACATTCTATGCTTTGAGGTGATTTGTAGTTTTAGCTTTTACATTTAGGTCACTAATCTGTTGTGGTATTTGAGTTCTTGATGTAGGGATAAGAAAAAATTCAATTTTTTTTCATACAGACACTTGTTTATTACTATTTGCTGAAAAGACTATTTTTTTTCTATTGAATTATCTTGACACCATTATAAAAAAATTAATTGACCATATACATGTTTGTCTTTCTCTGGACTCTTTTTCCATTGAGCTTTGTTTATCCTTACCCAATATTGTGTTATCTTGATTACTGTATTACTTGATTTATTAAGTCTTAAACTCAGGTAGTATAAGTTCTTCCAACGTTGTTTTTCCTTTTTGAGATTGTTCTGACTATTCTAGGTCCTTTATGTTCCTATAAATTTTATCATCACCTTGTCAGCATCTACTAAAAAACCTCCTGGATTTTTAAAGAAATGTGTTTGACTGTATGAATCACTTGGAGGAGAATTGCCATTGCATCTTTATATTTTTCAGGCCTCTACCCAGTTGCCAGCAAATGACAGCTCATGTGCTAAATCTGGCCCTGCACCTGATTTTTTGTAAATAAAGTTTTGTTGGGACATAGCCACACTCAATAATTGTGGCAGAGAAGCTGTGATGGAGACTGTATGGTCCACAAAGCCTAGAATATTTACCATCTAGTCCAGGCCACCAGTGACAGTGTTGTATAGAAGTGGTGAACGCAGACATCCTTGCCTTGCTCCTCACCTTAGGGACATGCTTAGTACCACATTGTTGATGTGTAATGTTGGCTGTAGCTTTTCCTTAGGTACCCTTATTTTTCTGGGAAGGTTTATTATGAATAGTTGAATTTTGTCAAACACGTTTTCTTCATCTTTACGATCATGCGTTTTTTCTCCTTTAATATGTTAATGGGGTGAATTACACTGATTTTAGAATGTTGAAATAATCCTGAATTCCTAGAAAAATATCCCACTTTTCCCTAGCGTACTATTCTCTTTATATATTGCTAGGATTTATTACATTTTTGCTAAGGATTCTTGCATTTCTGTTTATGATAGTGTCTGTCCCTTTTCTCATATATTCTGCTCCAAAAAAAAAAAAAAAAAAAAAAAGCCCAACTATATCTTGCTTTTTATTTTGTCACAGTTTGTTGCATAAAGTTAACGTTACTTCCTTTTTTAGTGTTTGGTTGGCCTTACTAATCAAGCAGTTTGGGCCAAAATTTTCATTGCAAGAAGTTTAGAAATTACAGATTCAGTTTCTTTAACATAAGATATATGGTGGCGTAGGTGGTTTATAACTTCTGTCCAATTTGGATCTAGTGTTTTTCATTTTTGTTGTCAAACTTATTAAAGTAGTTTACACTGTTCCTTTATTCTCCTTTTAATGCCTGTGGGTTCTGTGGTGGTGTCCCTTCCTTTGTTTTTCTTTTGTGGTACTGCTGGATTGAACCCAGGGCCTCACACATGTTACCCAAGTGCTCTCCTCTTGTGCCACACCCATAGCCCATTTATTTTTGATGCTGGTAATTTGGGAGTAAGAAATGGAAAGTTAATATTTGAGCCTGGGATCAGGTCCCTGGAATTGGTAAGATTTGCTCCCAAATGTATCACTTTAGCCCCAGATTGATTCTTTTTAAACAATTTCATTAGTTTCAATTTACAAATGAAAATTCTGTGTTTTTTTGTATTCTGAGAACACTTAAAATCGACTCAGTGATTTTTCAAGACTTTGATTCTTGGGCTCAGTGTTCAGGTAGAAGGATCTCTGAGAGGCAGAAGACAAGAGCATGGGAAGGATTAAGAGGGGGTTGAGCATTCTTCCCAGGCTGAGTGGCTGCATGGATGGGATGGGGCCTGAGTGATGGAGACACTGTGGGCTGTGTCCAGCTAGGGGAGACATTATCTTGATTGTACTGAACCTAACTAGCACCTGGGCACCAGATTACTCCTCAAATACAAGGGGTTTACGTAGCACTTCATTGTAACACTTACAAGAGACTTCAGCCAGGTAGCAGTCCAAAATAGCAAAGGACCTTAATAGAGTCTAGCCTTTGAGCCATTTCCACACAATCTATTTATGCCATGTTTTAGCTCCATGCAGTTTATTAAAGATTTTGGATGTTTTGTGTAATACTAGGTTGCTAAATACTAGATGTGATTTTTACATTTGGTTCTGTGCTTTGACTAAACTATAATTTGAAGTTATCCATATTTGCTCCTCTCATAATTGAACATGCAGCTTTGACTTCATATCTACTAATTGTTCAAACTACTCACATGCTTTATTTCCACTGCCTCCTTTGATGGCAGTTATCACTCTTTTAGTTTCTCCAATGTAAGTAGTTTTTGAAAACTCAAAGGTTTTCTTTAGAATGACTGTTTTTAGACAAATGATGTGATGTATTCATCATTGAAGAATTCAAGAAATACAGAAAAGAGTTGATAGCACAAAAAAATGCAGTCGTTGTTGTGAAATAACCACTGTTGAGTAAGATTTACTTAAGAGCATTCCTGTTGCCTGCCTAGCAAGCCTGAGGCCCTAAGTTCAAACGCCAGCACTGCCCGCCCTCCCCCTTCCCCCCAAAAAATATTCTGTTTGTATGCAGGGAGAAGAAGGAATGGTTGACAGATAACTTCCTATCAAAGAATTATTTTATTGGTGCTGTTTTGGTAAGATGGTTGAGTTTAACATAACATCATAAAATAAGAAGCAAAGCAAAAGAAATTGCTGAACATGGAATAATTATTTCCTTACCCTGAGGAATAGTAGTTTCTAAATCCCTAAAAATTGAAAAATATATTCCATGAGACCATCGAGAAGTTAGAATCACTCTAACTTTTAAAAAAAATTTTCATATTTCTATTTTAGATGGTATTGACACCTTGCTGTGAAATCAGAAAAAAGCAAATTACATCATACTTTAGCCTACCTCCTTTTTTCCTTTCTGCCAATTTCCAGTAGATCCTGTTGTTTTTATTTTTTTGATTGTCAGATTTTATTTTCTGTAACCGTATTCCTTCTACTGCTTTTGCTGTGTCTGCACAGATTTATTGGTCTGTACATTTTCTCTTACAGTGGTTCTTCAACAGTCTCAAGTGCTTTAGTTCCATTGTCACCTGGTTGGCTGTATTTTAACATCAAGCATTTTGCCTCAGAGGTATCAGATACCGTAAATTTTTAGGAGCTAAATTGTCTTCCTCTGTTGTTACCTCTACCTTAGAATTGAAACCTTTCTAGTCTCCAGTTCCAAGTGCTAAAGATGAAGTAAAATCTCTGATCTTTTTGTCATCCTCCTTTGAGACCTCTTCATCCTATTGCTCCCATCTGAATTTTCATCATCCATAACCTAAATTTTTGAAATATTTATTTAAATGGTGTTTATTAACCCACAGTCTTTATGGTGTTTGGCTTGGTCTGCTGTGAAGGACAAAGTCAAGGGAGGTTTTTTTGTAGGACAGCATTTAAGAGAATGTAGCAAAATGTGCTTTCAGTCTTGGATCCTGCTTTTTGTCATTTCATCTGTCCTAAAGAGCCTTCCATATGAATAGTACATGAAGAACTCTGCTTTTTCTTTAGTGATGTTAATAAGCAGTCCACTGAACAGATAGAATGTACCGTGCTTAATTTAATGCTGTCAAGGGCATTTAGGTCACTTTTACACCTTTATGCCTAGTGACAGTGCTGCTGTGAATATCTTCGTATTGATGACATTTTGAATATTTCTGTAGCATTAATTCCTAAAAATGAATTTTTGGTGTCAAAAGTATATACAGTTGGTTCAGTATGAAATAATTTGTAGACACAAAATGGGAATTATGAGAATATGAGGAATGGAGAATTAAAGCAAATGTTCATGTACCTACCACCCAGTTTAAGGAGAACACTGGCAGTGACTTTGCCCCTGCTTAGGTGCCTCCAGGGTTGTCCTCTTCTCCTTCCCCTGCAAGGATGAGCATTGCTCTGAATTTCGCATTTGTTATTCCTTCAGCTTTTTTTATAGAGTTACTATTTATTTCTGAAATGCTGAACAGCACATTAAGTTTTCCATACTTTTTCCTGGCTATAAACTATATCCTACTTCTAGTCTTCCTCTGCAGTTTGCTCTTTTCACTCAACATTGAGGTTTTTGATGTGCATCCATTCTAATGCCCAAAGCTCTGGTTTATTCACTTTCCCTGCTGGGCAGCTTTATACCTTACAATGTGTGAATCTCCTCCAGGGTATCTGTTTTCCTATTGAGGGATATGAGGTTTGTTTTTAATCTTTGGCTGTTATATGCAGTGTTTTCTGGAGCATTCTTGCTCAATCTTGCAAGGTCTCTTTTAGTGGATGCGTTGCACACAAGAGTTTCTTTGGAATATATTCCTAGAGTTGCTAGGCTACATAGTCTGCCAATCTTTAGGTAGGCAACTTTTAAAAACTGAAATGTAATGTTCAAACAGAATATGCACAAATCAAAATGTAGAGCTTAATGAATTATCACAAAGTACCCATTTGAATGCTCACCAGCCCGCTCAGAAGCTGTGTCGCATTAGTCACAGCCTCCATCCTTGCTCCCTCAGAGTAACAACCTACTTTTCTAACTTATGCTGTAGATTTGTCTTTGAAACTTACATAAAAGGATCATACAGTATGATGGGTCTAGCTTTTGTTCATGAGATGCATCCCTGTCATAGCTTATAGGTCTAATTTGTTCATGCCCATTACTGTATAACATGCCATTGTTTGAACGTAATACAAGTTATTCATCCATCCATTCTATTGTTAATGGGCTTTGGGTTGTCTAGCTTTTTAAAATTATAAATAATGTTCCTTTGAATTTTTAAAAGAATCTATGAAATTTTAGCTGGCTGCCATTCCTGTAATCTTAGCTACTTGGAAGGCTAAGATGGGAATGATGCAGTTTGAGGCCAGCCTGGGCAAATAGTTCACAAGACCCTCTCTCCAGAATAACCAGAGTAAAAATGAACAGGATGCATGGCTCAAGCTGTAGAGTGCCTGCTTTGTAAGCATGAAGCCCTGAGTTCAAACCCCAGTCCAATTAAGAAAAAAGAAAGAAAAAAACCTATGAAATTTTGTTTCTTTCTTTTTTTTTTTTTCTTCCTGGAGACAGGGTCTCACTATGTAGCTCAGACTAGCCTTGGACTCTCAATTGAACTCTTTTCCTCTTGCCTCAGCCTCCTGAGTGCTGGGATTACAGATACATACTGCTATGCTTGACTTGAACATTTTCCTGAGACATCTGTTAGTGCACATGTGATAAAGGTCTCTAGAAAATCAAAGGTTAGAATTGCTGGGTGTATCTATCTGATGTGGATTACCTTGTAGTTATATAAGGTAATGCCAAATTGTAGTGCATTTAAAATGTGCAGATTTTATCAAATTGTTCTCCCTGTTTGTTATACTCCTTTGTTTTTACCAGGAACATTCATATGAAAGTACCTGTTTGATTTATCAAATTTTTTTTGGAGGTAGGGTCTCACCATGTAATTCAGATTGACCTTCAATTCACTGTGTAGCTCAGGCTGACCTTCACTCCTTATCCTCCTGCCTCTGCCTCCTGAACATTGGAGACTTTGCCAGTTTAATACATGAAAAGGAAGGGAAATTGAAGGGAATTTGAAGGGAAATTGACAGTAAAGGCTGTGTGTTTAAACCTAACGAAGACTTGATTTCTTTTGCAGCCCGAGACTCCAGATCATTGTTCCCTCCCGGAGGATCTGGTGAGTATTGCTGCATGCTCTGGATTGGAATTAACTGTGCCTTCGATAAGTATAATAAGTAAATAACAGTAATATTTTATGAGTTTCTCTTTGTTTGGTTGCTGACCAAATATGTTTTACTTTAACATGGCAACTACATTGTGAAAATGCTGACAGTATTATGGGTGATGCCCCAACTTAAAACCATTAAAGTTATATTGCTTTTTACATTTAAAGGGAATGAAAAGGAAGTCAGTTCTCTCCCCACACCTTCCCACACACACACCTTATTGCAGAGATCAGACTTGCTATACTTGTTTTTCAAAAATGGCTGTGACCTTTCCTCCAATTGAATCCTTCCAAGGAAAGAACAAGAAGGCTCTCATTTGATTGTCCTGGATTCTGTAGTAACGGGGTTCCTGTCTGTTCTGACCTTAAGGTAGCAGCTTTGTTCCGTCCCTGCCCAGACACATGGAAGGGGGAGCAGTAGGTCCAGCTGGTGAACCTGTTACTTTTCAGGAAGCTTTGTTACTTTAGTTGACAGACTCTATGTGCCATGTTATCAGATCTAGTTTTTAAAATTCTGGGTTTTGAGTTTCCAAAATTCTGAGACTTTTGAGTCATTCTGATCTTCATTGGTTCACAGTTGTTATTTTGAGCTTGTTCTTAATGTCCATAATTCAGGAACCAAATAGGTTTTCAGACAAAGGGAGCACTGACATGTAGCAAAACTATTTCAAATTCACTCTGTTATATAAAGGAGTGAGGTACACAGATGCGCTTATTAAGTTTACATTTTTACTAGTAGTTTGTACCCTTAGACATTCCTATAGTAAAGCAAGGACCCTGACCCAAATGAGTTTTGGATATGGGATAGACAAAATAGGATTATAGAAAGAAAGGAAAAATAACTTTAAATACAGTTATTACACATTTTTGTGGTACTGTAGCACCCATTCTTTTGGCGCTCCATGGGCTGGTCAGAGATAAGTGATCCTCAAAGAAGTACTGAGAGCAGAGATTGCAGGTGCCTCCAGGCTTGGGCGAGTGAGATGCATGTGTAAAGCAGGTGGGGGTGCTTTATGGGGGTGTGAAGACTCCTAGTAAATTGAAAAATATTCTGGGTTTGGACTCAGGACCAAAACAAAATGCATCTGTGAATTAGAATCATGCTGTAGCTTTCAAGTTCACAAACTTCTGCTTGATGGCAAATGGCATTTGTTTGGAGCTTAGAGATTGAGCAAGAGAGTCCCCGGACTCCAACTTCTTCCATATCGGATTCTTAGAATTGTTGGAGCATATGCTTAAGGTTGCATTTAGTGAAGACTCTGGTTGGCATAGCTCTGTGGCTCCACATGAATTTTTGTTGCAATAGTTAGTCATCCTGGGGATGCTTCGATCTAGTGCCTCCATATGTTAAGTCACCTCTGGAATGTGACCACACATTTGAAGATGAAAACAGCTACTTTTGTGTAGCTTTACATTTGGAATCTCATTTTGATGGTTGTAGTGTACTTCTCCCTCTAAAAGTTTTTTTTTTTTTTTTCATAGTTTATGGCAAAAAAAAAGCAGTAATGTTTGACTACTCCTTAGGAGAATTATTTTTTTTTACGTCCAATTTCTCAATTTTAACTGTCTGAAGTTCTCCCAGATAAAAAGACAGAGTTGGATGATAGCTAATTATTGAGTAGATTTTTTCCACTTCAGGTTTAAGTCTTTAAAGCTAGGCTTGCAATCAGTATGTGGATGCAACTTTAAAGAATTACCTGGTGTTGGTGGGATTTTTGGGTAGTTGGGAAGCTATTGCTGTATTGGAAAGAACTTTGCCTGGGAAAGATTGTCCAGCTATCATAAGCCATTTTCGTTTGTAAATCTAGGTCTGAAAACTCTGATATAGAATTGCTAAGCCTGAGTGGGGAGAAAGAGCAGAGTACAAGGGTTACGATGAATGAAGTGAAGAAAATCACCTGTCCTTAGTAAAGTCTGAATGTACACTTTTTCTTTGCCGTCTTTCCTCTTGCTGGCGCACCTCAGAGGGTTTCGGAAGTTTCCAACCATTGGTGGTACTCCATGCTCATCCTGCCTCCTTTGCTGAAAGACAGTGTGGCAGCGCCCCTGCTCTCTGCCTACTACCCAGACTGCGTTGGCATGAGCCCCTCCTGCACCAGCACAAACCGTGCTGCTGCCACCACCACCACCACTGCCACCACCCCTAGCAGTGCCAGCCCGGGGAAGCTGGAGCCCTCCAAGGTGGCTCCCTCTGCACTTGGTGAGAGCTGTTTTAGTACCTCTTCATTTCCATCCCCTGCAAAATGCAAAGGATTTTTTAAAAGTGTGTGTGACGGGATAAAGTACCTTGGTACTTCATGCATTTGGTTGTACAGTTGTCTCTCCATATCCATGGATTCTGTATCATGGCTTCAGCCAACCATGCATAGAAAATATGTAAGGGAACATCGTATGTCTATGCTGAATATTTCAATTTTTGTTCTTCCTAAACAATAACAGTGTAAGAAGTATCTACATTGTATTAGGTAGTATAAGTTATCTACAGATGACTTAGAGTGTACAGGAGTATAAGTGTAGTTTATATGCAAATACCAGTCATTTTATGAAACTTGAACATGCATAGATTTTGATGTCCTGGAACTAATTCCCTAAGGGAATTAATTTCCCCTAAGGGAAAGAATTGTACTTTGGGTCTCATATTGGCATGTAGTGTGCACTAATTTTTTCTGTTGATAATTTGGAAAGCCGTTAGCACTTATCTATGAATTATCTCCAGGATTTAATGAGTGTTTGAAAGTTGGATAGCTGTTATAATCTAATGCTTATGTAAATGCTGATTTACAAGAAGAAAGTTTTGAGCTATATAAGAAGCAGTATGTTTTTTCTCTACTTTTTAAATACCATTGGTGATCCACAAAAGAAAAAAATTCAGCTCTTCAGGTCTAGGCAAGCATGTCTGCAAGCTATTGACTTTAAAGGAATCTCAGTTCTTTATCTTGTGAGGCAGGTGCTCTACTGCTTGAGCCATGCCTCCAGCCCGTTTCACACTGGTTATTTTGGAGATAGGGTCTTGCTTTTTGCCCAGGCTGGTGTGGATCTTGATTCTCCTGTTTAACACTTCCCACTGTTACTGGGATGACAGGCATATGACACAATGTCCAGCTTTTTCCATTAAGATGGGGGTCTCACTTTTTGCTGAGGCTGCCTTGGAACTGTGATACTCCCCATCTCAGTCTCTTTTATAGCTTGGGATGACAAGCACATGCCACTGTGCCCAGCTGTTGGTCGTGATGGGGTCTTGCAAACTCTTTGCCTGGACTGGCCTTGAACTGTGATCTTCCTGATTGCAGCCTCCCAAGTAGCTAGAATTACAGGTGCAAGCCACTGTCACCCAGCTTTTGATTTGTTTTTGCTCTTTCATTGTTCTGAATTTGGAAGTTACAGCTTGCAAGAGTTGCTTGTTGTGTCCCCTGTTAGTTCCAGGCATGAACCGGTACTTCCAGCCTTTCTACCAGCCCAATGAATGTGGCAAAGCCCTCTGTGTGAGGCCTGATGTGATGGAACTGGATGAGCTCTATGAGTTTCCAGAGTATTCCCGAGACCCCACCATGTACCTGGCTTTGAGAAACCTCATCCTTGCCCTGTGGTATACGAACTGCAAAGTAAGTAAGGATGTGCTAGCTAGAAGCACAAGGACAGGGTACTTGCTTGAAGGAGAGGAGTGTCCTGACTTGGGGACAGACTTTTAGACCAGGGTGTCTCAGCACAGTTAACATTTGAGGCAGGTAATTCCTTGTCTTAGGCACCGTAGGGTACTTAGCAACATCCACATACAGGCTGAGTAGCCTTTATCCAAAAGGCTTAGGGCCAGAAGTATTTCAGATTATGGGTTCTTTTTTCAGACTTTGGAATATTTACCCGTTGAGCACTCCTAATCCAAAACCCTGAAATGCTCCGAAATCAGAAAATTTTGAGCACTGTTTTGGTACTAAGACTTCGAAGCATTTTAGATTTAAACTTCTACATGGGGCAGGAAATCCACCACTCTAGACCACATGCGGTTGCAGTGTTCACTCCAGGGACTAAGGATAAGGTACCAGATTTGGTCCAAAGAGTTCCAGTGGCAATGTCAGGAGGGGAAAAACCCATCAAAGATGTGATTATAAGCCCTTGAAAGTTTAACCCCTCAGTATTTTCAACCAATCAAGACCAGTGCTTTTCTTTTTTGTTGGAACTGAATAAATGTTAGGGGCATTACACAGCATCCACCTTGAAAGGGTGAAGATAAATTAGGGGTGGGGATGTAGGTTCTTTTTTTTTCCCCCCCAAACAAAAATAGGCTCTCTTGACTGTGGGATTTTTATGACTTGTTAATTTCTTCAGTAGTTATTTGAGTCACTGTTGCATATAGAAGATTGTTAAAGACTGCCAAAGTAGTCTTAGTTTAAGATACTCCAACTTTATCTGGGTATTTTATTCAGGGAATCAGAATGCAGGGAGATGAGATGACCTAATTGAGTTATGGCTGTTAATGCAATTTATATGAATTGTACCCAGGTGAGTGAGTAGGTTGAACAAGGAAGAAATACTCATTTTTTGCCCAGTAGGCTTGAGATAGGTGCTCACTAAACACTTACTTCACAAAATTATGGTCAGAATTTCTTACGGTTATAAAGGTATACTTTTCAGAAACAGCCTGAATTCATTTTTCTTCACATTTTTTTAATTTGACTTTGAAATTTGACTAATAGAGGGGGAAAATTTAATAGAAGTCCTTATCAGTTAAGATCTTAGTTTTTAATAAGAAGATAGTATTTGTTATGTATACCTAATGCTGTAGTGGAAAAATATTTGCATTAAAAGAATCAAAGACTTTGCACTGATTTTTTTCTTTAAACTTCATTAGTACAAATTTATATTATGTAGCACATGTTATTTCTTGAATACTTTAAGTATATGATCATCTACCTGTGTTAAGATTCGAGTGGAGCTGGGAGTTGGTGACATGTAGAGGAGAGGTGTGTGGCTGCCTTTTTTTTTTTTTTTTTTTTTTCTCCTTTTCTTGTGCTAGGTTTGAACCAGGGCTTTTTGCATTCTAGACAAGTGCTCTACCACTGCATCCCAGGCCTTTCCTTTGTGCCTGTTCTCACTTTATATCCTGGGATGAGGCGGTAGCTTTGTTGTGCTTGGGTCTGAGATGGATCAAGTTCTTGCCAAAGCTGGAATGACCAAAGAAAGGCAGTGTCTTGTTATAGTTTCCTAAATCATCCCCCAAACCTTATTAGTCATGAGAGTGAGCTTTCATGCTGCCAGTACCAGTAGCATCCTGGATTTCTGTGTGGCCTTTGAGTCAGGAAGGTGGTGGAGTTAGCCTCCACATTCTTACAGTCGTGTTCTTGGCCAGGGGAGACTTAGCTGCCAAAGTATAAATTGCTGTATCTGTGCTTGTCCCTTTATCACGAGGAAGACCTCTCTTTGGGTCTCTTAGTAACAAATGATGGATGTGAATTATCTTGAAAGTTAGTTATTTTTGTAAATAAAAACCACAACATACAGTTTTCTATTTTTACCATTGTAAACAATTCAGAGGCATTAAGTACACACACAATGTTGTACAACTGTCACCACTATTTAGTTTCAGAACTTTTTTATTATCCAAGAGAAAACCTACCTACTCACTTCCCATCTCCCCACCCTGCCTTACACTTTCAGCCCTTGGCAACCACTAGTCTACTTTTTTTCTCTGTAGATTTGCCTAATTTGGACATTTCAAATAAATACAGTATTTGACCTTTTGTGACTAGCTCTTTCACTTAGCATGTTTTCATGGTTCATTCACATTATAGCATGTGTCAGAACTTCATCTCATTTCATGGTAGAATGATATTTGACTGTGTGATTATGTTGCATTTTTGTTTACCCATTCCTCCATTGATTGCCATTGAACTGTTTCCACTTTTTGGCTGTTTGATACTTCTGCTATGACAATTTTGTTTGAACATATGTCCTTAATACTTTTAGTGTATACCTGGGAGTGGAATTCTGAGTCATCTGATAAGTTTATAATTAACCTTTTGAGGAACCAAGAGATTTTTAGGAAACTATTTTTTTCCAATTGACAAAAATTGTATTGTTTAAGATACATTGTGTTTTGAATATATGTACCTTGTGGAGTGACTAAGTCAGGCTAATTAATGTAAAATCTTACTTTTTTGTGGTAAGAGCACTGAAAATACATATTATTTATAGCCACCAATAGATCTTTTACTTATTCCTCCTACCTGACTGAAATTTTGTTCTTTGACCAATATCACTCCACCTCCTTCCAGGCCTTGGTAACTCCCATTGTGCTCTCTACTCCTGTGAGTTCAACTTTTTTAGATTCTATAAGTAAGATCATATGGTATTTGCCTTTGTATGCATGGTTTATTTCACCTAACATATTGTTACACAGGATAAGAGTTCCTTAAGGCTGAATAATCCATTTGTGTAAATCTTCACTATGAGCTCATCAGTTGATGAGTCATTTCCGTACCTTGGCTATCATGAGCAATGCTGCAGTAAACATGAAAGTGCAGGGCTCGCTGACATCCCAGCTTCATTTCTTTTGGATATATAGTCATTAATGGGATTGCTGGATCATGTGGTAGTTCTATTTTTAACTTTTTGAGGAACCTCCATACTGTTTTTCTATAGTGGCTGCACTAATTTACATTCCTACCAGTAGTGTCCAAGGGCTCCCTTTTCCCCACATCCTCACCACCAGCATTTGTTAGCTTTTCTTTTTGATAATAGCCTCTTAACTGGAGTCAGGTGATATCATTGTGGTTTGAATTTACATTTCCCTGATTAGGGATGTTGAATATTTTCTTATATACCTGTTGGTCTCTTGTATGTCCTCTGCCCTTTTCTTCCCTTTGGTGCAGGGAATCCAACCCAGGCCTTCATACACAGTAAGCAAGTACTCTGCTACTCGTTCCCATCCATCTTCTACTTTGCTCATTTTTAAATTGGGTTCTTTTCTTACTATTAATTGAGTTCTTTAAAAGTTTTTTTGTTTTTGTTTTTTTTTAATTAACAACTTGGTTTCATTTCTAAACACAGGAAGCTCTTACTCCTCAGAAATGCATTCCTCACATCATTGTTCGGGGTTTGGTGCGCATTCGATGTGTTCAGGAAGTGGAGAGGATACTTTATTTTATGACAAGGAAAGGTCTGATCAACACAGGAGTCCTTACTGTGGGAGCTGACCAGTATCTTCTTCCTAAAGACTATCACAATGTAGGTAACTGGTGTTACCAATGACACTACCATTAGTCATGATAAAATGCTGATGTATTGCTGTTAGTAATACTAGTAGAAGGCATGTTACCACCTTAAAACTTATTTAACCAAGACTTTTTTTTATAAAATGTTTCTCCTAAGAGAAATCAAGCAGGATTAAGGAAAGTAACACCATATCCTTTAGGAAAATAACTTTGTAAGGACATCAAAGAAATGTAGAGGGACTAGCATTGCTTGGCTTTTAGTATCTTCCCGAATGACTATTCCAGTAAGTAAATTGTTATCATTGCTCTAATTGGAATTTTGTTTCTTTTCTTTTTAAGAAATCAGTCATCGTTATTGGGGCTGGTCCAGCAGGGTTAGCAGCTGCTAGGCAACTGCATAACTTTGGAATTAAGGTAAGCTTTTTGGGACATGTAGGTGGCAACAGATGGTTAACTGCTCCTTTAGTCCACATTTTCAAAGATTTAGAAAACACTTCCTAATTTTAGTGAAGAATGCTAAATGCATCATATCTTTATACTAGATCATGGAAAAATTACAGCATTTGAAGTTGATTTCATCAAAGAAAGGTGGCAGAGAAAGAACAACTCAGTTTTGGAAAGAGTTTTAAACTAATGAGCAAGTGAGAAAAAATTCTTACCTGAGGTTAAAGCAAAAATTCTTGACAGATTATCATGAATGCAGTTGAGGCTGTGAGAGAAGCCTCTTTTTCTGCCATAGTTAAAGACAGCAAATAATAGCATGGGAATTCACCATTTCCTGGATAAAATATTCTGAAAAACCCAGTTAGATTTCCTTCCTCCTTTTTTTTGAGTGCTGCTGGAACCCAGGGCCTTTAATATTCTAGGCAAGTGCTCTACTACTTAGATACCACTTTGCTCTTGGAAGCAGGTTTAAATTAATTAATAACTGGTCAATATAGAAGTATGACTTTCATAGTAATACAGATATTTAAGATCTTTTACTTCATCAGAGGAAGATGGGGCAACATGCTGTTGCCAGGTATTGGCTTATTCTGGAATTCTCAATTAGCCAAAACAGAGACTAAAAACAGCTGTTTAATTCAGTATCTAATGAATTAGATCAGTTAAATCTTTTCAAGTGAACTGTCCTCTAGATTTCTCTGATCTGCTAGTTCTGACGCATTTCTCCTACTTAAAACTTTGTAAGAACTTTGCTTTTCAGTGAAACCAAAAGCACAAATTAATTTGGCAAGATTAAAATGAGTGTTTTAACTTTTTTGTATCTGGCTAAAAGAAATGCTTCTCTGTGGGAAGGTTTTCCAAGACACGTGTCAGATTTTCAGAGACGTTTTCAATAGCTATGCCTAAGAGATTTTCCTCCTGGTTGGATGGAAGACCCAAGTCATGGATTACATTAATTGGATTTATAGGGAATGTGTTTCTGTTTTAAAATATTTTCTGTGTGGTATTAAACTAGAAGATTTTAAGTGATCATTTCAGTATTAGATGTTTGGGGCCAACATTTTTGTTTTACTTGGGAAATCCAAAGTTTATATATATATTATAGGGAAGGTTTTTTTAATATTCATAGTATAGAAAGGATGTCTATAATGTTCATCCTTCCTCTTACACTAAAAAGAAATAGAAATGGATGGTTTAGTGTTAAATTGAATTCAGAGAACCACAAGTTGGCCTTCCTAGTTAAAGGGAAGAACTTCAGTCTGTGGAGGAATGTTCAGAGGGCTCCCCCCCATTATGATGAGCAGGATACCACCAGAAGACCATTTCTCAGTGTTAGGAAATAAATTCCTTCAGTGACTTGAGAGATGGTTAATTCAGGGAACCTCTTCTTGAGCAATTCTAAGTGCTTTTAGGGATCCAGAAATGAAATGAGTGGCTTTGCAATACATAGGACTAACATTTTCAGTTAATGCAACCCAGGGCCACAGATGAGACACTGCCTGACCATTCAAGAGCATCTCCTCATCCCAACCAGCATTAGGAATTTGGTAATAAAATAGCCTAGATGTGGGACTAACTTGGTTAAGTCAACCCCATGAGGTCATACCTACACATTAAAAGAAAAATGTTTCAGGGATATTACCACCTGTTTTTAATGCTAAAACAATTTTACTACACACATAGATATTTCACAGGAAGATTCAGTTCTTTATCCTACTTTTTAATTTATGGACTACTACTTAGTAAGTAGTAAGTAAAAGTTTTCAAAGTACATTTCATGTGCTTGTTCATCAACTTTTGCCTGATTAGAGAGGAAACAATCTGATGGGTTCCTCCAGCAAGATCACCCAGTTAATCCTCATCAGAATCTGGATTGCTTTAAACATTCTTTTTAGCTTCTGTTTACACTCAGATTTTATATAAATACAATAAATTAACTAAATATGGAGGTATTTAACACTGCTACATTTTTAATTTTTATATCTAGTGTGATGGTTCTGTCCTGTTTAGATTCCTCCATTGACTCTTTTTAGGTGATTGTCCTGGAAGCCAAAGACAGAATTGGAGGCAGAGTCTGGGATGACAAATCTTTTAAAGGCGTCACAGTGGGAAGAGGACCCCAGATTGTCAATGGCTGTATTAACAATCCAGTAGCACTAATGTGTGAACAAGTGAGTTCAATTAAGATTTGTATTGTGGACAATGAAACAAAATGTTTGCTGTACTGATACGGAGCTAGAGGTTTTAGCTCAGTGGTAGAGCACTTGCCTAGCTTTGTGGGGCCCTGGGTTCCATCCCCAGCACTGTTTTAAAAAAAAAAAAAAGGATTATAATATTAATATGCTTGTAAAGAACGTCACGGCAATCTTTACTGCGCTGCAAAGTAAATAACAACAATTACGCTTTTGCTTTGTTGAGAAGGCATTTTAAAGGCATTATTTTTGCCAAAATCTTTAACTTTGTTATTTGCAGGCCACTTAAGTAGCCCATAATTTTAGAGTTGCCAGATTAGCAGATAAAAATGTAGGCTTCTTGCTTAAATCTGAGTTTCAGATAAGTAATTTTTTCAGTGCAAGTATGTCTCAAATATTACATGGGATACTGTGCATGCAATATTTGAGGTACACTTAATGCTTTTATAAGTGTAATTCATATCTGAAAGTTAACCTACAAGGCATTCATTCTGTCATCTGGTAACCTGGTAGGTTCAGGAGTTTTCTTCTGAAACATTTTTTGGAAGTAATCTCAATTTCAGCTTCTGTGAGTGTTTCTGTTCATTTACATAAGAATCCATAGCAGAGACACAGTGTTTGACAAGGGCAGGGAGTCGGGAGCATCTGAGACATTAGTTAGGAAGTCCATGCATGGCATAGGTGTTGCTGTCACTCTCACGTTCTTGTACAATTAAGGTGTCACTGATTTAATGCTATTTTTCTCATTGCTTCACTTTGCTGCCATCTCCCATTAAGCACATTTAGCTCTGTTTTTGAGTTTTCAGACCCCTTTCTCCATGAGAGGTTTGTCTAATTTCAGCTTAGAACCTGTAAATATTTTTTCCAGGGAAAAATTTTCACCTTCTTATTCTTATTATTTTGAAGCTTGGCATCAGCATGCATAAATTTGGAGAAAGATGTGACTTAATTCAGGAAGGTGGAAGAATAACTGACCCCACTATTGACAAGCGCATGGATTTTCATTTTAATGCTCTCTTGGATGTTGTCTCTGAGTGGAGGAAGGATAAGACTCAGCTCCAAGATGTTCCTTTAGGAGGTATGGGGAGAATGGTGTTCTGACTGTTCCATCTTAGTGTCGCTCTAACTAAGCTTGCTTAGTAGCAGCGCTGTTCCTTCATGAGGCTGGATAGCATCAGTAGGGGCAGTCCTTTCTACTTTCCCTTTGGATTGATGGACTCTCCAGAGTCTTCCTCAGAGGGTGGCAGGACTTCCCTGGGGACCTTCAAAGCATGTGTGTGCATGTACACATGAACCTTACTTTGTACAGTAGCTTGTATTTCACAAAAGTATCTAAACATTTAATTTAAAATTTCCCAGAGCAGCTTACTTTTAATAAGGAAGTCTGTGGTAAACCCTGTGTGAGTAAATTATCACCCTCAATGTCTTCCAGATAAAGGTTCTGTATACTAGGATTTCTTTCATTTTCTTTAGGCATTAGGCTGTTTTTTCAGTATATTTTGTTTAGGAATGTATGTTCTCATGTAAGAATTTTAAATCCGCATCCTTGAGCTATGGTCTTAAATGAGCAATATCAAGCACAACTCTGTAGACCACTGACTAGACTGCTTGTAATGACCATTTCTATATGGATGCCATCTGGAATTTATATGCTGCTTCTTAAATTGATATTTAGTCTACAGTTTTCTACAAATGTTTTCATTTATAGTTCTTGGAGGCATGTTGGTATTTCATGGTGGGTGAACATTTGAACTCCATTTATAAACTTAATTTGCTTCAGGTATGTTTCTTTGCAAGGAGGTTCTTGGTTGTTCAGACTGATAGATACTTCATCTCCCTTTGGGGTAAACATGTATCTCAGTAGCAGGGGCTATCTTCTTTTTCTCTTTCCCCACCATCTCTAAGAGACTGACGCACACACTGATCACCCTTGGAAAGTGTTGCCCGACAAACCATAATGGCATGTTTTCAGAAATACGCTCCAGTCAACAGGGATAATTGAACCAAATATTGTAGTTCAGACCCCAAGTGGTGAATCATTACATTTTCTGGAGTTGAACACTTGTTAGGCTGACTTGCAGGGTATTCTCCGAAGAAAATAGAAGAAATTTTTTGTAGCCCAGGCTATCGTTGAACTCCAGATCCCCTTGCCTCAGCATCCCACATGCTGGGATTTCAGGCTTGCACCACCATACTTGGCTATATTCTCAGAATTTGATTAGTATTTTGCACTTGTGTGGTAGTCACTGCTGGGGTTTTCTTTGCATTTCTTTTAGCGTTACCAAGTAAAGCATTTTGATGATACGTTGCTTTGCTGTGGCCTTAGATTTAAAAATTAAGGGAGGCCCAGCTATACTGTATAAATAATTTTCACCTTGAGACCTTATTAAATAGCTTTCATAACAGTGCACATACCTTGATGTAAGGTTAGTTATATTGTGTCAGTATCTTAGCTATCTGAGATCTCATCTTAGTGGCACATAGCTTAAAAAATATATGAATACTAAGGTTGAAGTTCATTTCACAAAATGTGTACTAAAACTTTTAAATATTACTTAAAAAGAAACTATGTTAAGGCCTTTCTCTGTTTGTTTAATTTTATATTCTGTTATAGCAGTTTTGGTTTTTCCCCTCCACAAAACCAACAGGAAAGCAGAAACTGCCTTTCAGCAGGCAAGAATGGGATTGCTAGGAAAGCCCATGGTTCCAGGGGTACATTCTGGCACAAATCTAGAGGTCCAGGATATTCTTCTTTTGCAATCTAGTGTAAGAATTGAAAAGTTCTAATGATAACTTTGAGTTGTCAATAATAGCTACCCAATGTCAGTTCTGCTTCTAGTCGGGCGAGTTCACAACATTCTGTAGGAACTTGGAGTCCGTGCTGTATGTTGGGTGATTGTCCATCACTAGAAAATGTAGAAAGCAGCAACCTGTATTAAGATGCTTGGAATTAGACACGAGGCCAGAGCCTTCCCCACCTGTTGGAGCACCCAGTTATTTAATTAGCATGAAAGTTGGAATGATTTCACAGTGCTGTGTCTATATAATTAAAATTGCAGTTAAATGAGATAGGTAAGCACCAGTGCTTACACTGGGAGAGAGTCTGAGGCGTGCGGTAGCCAGGTGATGATAGACTGTAAAGGATGGAAGAGGTCAGGTGGGGGAGGAAGACTTTCTGTGATGGAAAGTGGGAATGGCAGGCCCTGCTTGGTTGGACTTTATCAGGAAGAGGATTCAGGAGCCCCATGGCAAAACCTGGAAGTGGGCAGGTAACAGTCACTACTTTTGGAAAGGTCAACATGTGCCAGACATATTTGGCCATGGCTTTTGGAATTTTTTGCCCAGACAACAGGGAACCAGTAATTATAGGTATTGAGGCAGAGGTTGACATGATGAAAGACAATAGGGGACTAGTCTTGTGTAGAAGAAACCATAGCCAATAGCTGGTCTATAGGTATCAAAAGAGGAGATGTTAAAAATACGTGCCATATAAGACCAGAAAGGGAATGGTAATCCTTTCTTTGGGTACGTGTCCCTGTGTGTGTGTGTGTGTTTGTAGTTTTTCTACATCTTGAGCAAAGAGAGGAAAAAGTTTCTCAAGTAGGCCTCAGTGAAACATTTTTGGTAATATAGAGCCTCCATAGTTTTGCTTCTGTTAAGATAAGCTTCCTCTTCCTGAGAGGAATCCCTTTTCTGCTGAGTTTACTTAGAGAGAAAGACTGGAAGCTTGAGGCTTTGTTGGGTGAAGGTTGAGCACAAAGGATCAGGAATTAGAGAATGAAGTGAAAGCTGTTTTTCTGCTTTGATCCATTCCCACTACAGAGAAAATAGAGGAGATCTACAAAGCTTTTGTTAAGGAGTCCGGCATCCAGTTCAATGAGCTGGAAGGGCAGGTGCTCCAGTTCCATCTCAGTAACCTGGAGTATGCCTGTGGCAGCAACCTCCATCAGGTGAGGCTGGGTTCCATGGAACGTGTTTTAAAAATACTTGTTCATGTGCATGTATTTTGTATATGTAAGTATGGAACTTGGGCTTGTTTGGGTAAACAGGGAAGAATAGTTCTGCTACCCAGAAGTTTGATAACCACAGCTTCAGACCATGTTAGTTCCACAGTGGTTTTATATTTTACCTTTTTTTTTTTTTTTTTTTAAAAAAAAAGGCAAGAGAACCCTTCCTCAAATTTTGCTTATAAAGTAGCTCAGTCTGTAAAACCAAAGAAAGGTGGGCTGCTGGGCCGAATGAGAGCAGGGCAACGAACCTTGTCCTTTAACTGCCCCCTTTTCCTTGCCCTCAGCAGAGGCCCTGGAGTCACTTCTATGAAAGCATGGAGTCTGAAAACACTGTTCGCAAAAAACCAAACCAAACAATACAACAAAAAAAGGAAACCAAAACACAGCATCCTTTCATTTGTGGCCTGTTTGTCTTATAAAAATAAATTCAAGCTTGCCTAACTAATTTAACCAACTGTGCCCCCAACACTGCAGTATTCTGTATTTTGAGTAGAAATTCCATGGGTAATTTAATCTGTCCTCTTGGGGACCTCTTTATTCCCACTTGAGTCAGCATTCAATTGGAATTGCACATTTTACAGAATCATACTGGGTTTCAATCTCTGGAATTTTCATGTTGAGCACAAAAAGTTGGCATATTTATATGTGGAGTTGATGAAAATGGGCTAGAATACCCCTTTGCTAGAGTTACTGGAATGTAAAATCAGTCTTTATCTTTGTCAAGGAATGGCATTTATGCCCAAGTCATTTAGACCTTTTGTTCTAAAATAAACTTTTCTGTGCATTATGGAGCTTTTCTTCCCCTCACAGTGATACCACCTTGGGCTGGTCAGTTCATCTTCCCTTCCTTGATGCTTCTGTGGGGTTGGTAGCCCTGTCCTCTTGCCTTAGGTGGTTTATTCCACCTGGAGCTCCTTTTGATGGCCCTGGGGCACAGGCTCAAGGATTCATACTGCAGCTCAGATTCTCAGTGGCTCCTGTTGTTTCTCAGGTGTCCGCTCGTTCCTGGGACCACAATGAATTCTTTGCCCAGTTTGCTGGTGACCATACTCTCCTAACTCCTGGGTACTCTGTTATAATCGAAAAACTGGCTGAAGGGTTAGACATTCGACTCAGCTCCCCCGTGAGTATCCACGGGGATGGGAAGCAGTGGCTTTGCCTTGTTTGGGAGGATGTGAAATTTTGGACATGTGATTCTCAGGAAACAGGTATTTGCTTGGATATTCAACCAGTGTCTCCCAGTATTTGAGTACAGCTGTCGGTTGGGATTGATAGCATTATCCATGTTAGTTAGGTGGTGGCTGATATGTGGAAACAGCAGTGGCCCAGGTTGGCCCAGGTTCATGTTCATTGATACTAGTGTTTAAGTTGCTCACGCCTCTCTAATACACTGCAGCTGTTTTCACTTTGAAGTTTTTCCTTTACTCTTTACCCAGTTGATTTTATATATAATCAGATGGTTATTTATATTTCATTTTATAGTATATAATAAAGGTTTTCCATATTCTGACATCGTTTATAAATTTTAGTTCCCCGAGTTTAGATAAAACTGTTGTTTAGATCTGTGAATGCCAGGAACTGATTCCTCATACCCTTAGAGATGTAAACTCACATAAGACTTGGGGAAAACCCTGAATCATATGGTTCTAGCTGTCTTTTCTCCGCCCTCCCCCCCCAATTGCTTGTTTCGGGAAGGTGCAAAGTATCGATTATACTGGAGACGAAGTGCAGGTTACCACGACAGATGGCACAGGGCATTCTGCACAAAAGGTAAGCACTGGGATTCCACTGGGATAGAGTTCTTTACTGTGAAAGGCCTGCAGGGAAGGAAAATGGGCTTTTCCTATCAAGTAGTTTGTGTCTGGCACTCTGTCTAGAGCTTTGCTGGGTTTCTGATGAATTAGTTATGTCCACTTAATTGTGTATAAATGTGCAAATCTGATTTAATGCTCTAATACCATTTAGATTCATGGCAGATGGAATTCTGAATAGTGTTCATAAAATACATTCTAGGGTACATTGAACATGAAATTCCAGGAGGTGTAGCTTAGTGTAGAGCACTTTCCTAGCATATGTAAGGCCTTAGGTTTGATCCCTAGCACTCAAAAAAAAAAAAAAAAAGTCCTGGGCAAATAAGTTTGGAAAGTATTATATACTAGCCTCTTTAGGGGTTAAAGAAGTATAGTAAAGGCTCAGAGAGGTTCTATATTAGAGAAACCTATTTTACTTTAATTTCATACTTTTTACCATGGAAACCTTTTCAAATAAAAAAAATTGTTTCCTCTTGAAAGTAAACATCTATATAACTTAATGTATTTTCACACAACTTAAATTTTTTTGTAGACAGCTTTAGTGGATAGATAGTACAAGGTCTGCTAAGTGTAACTGCTGAAATCATATTGTAACTTCTGTAGTATTAGAACAAAGACACTTGGGGCAGAGGGGATGTATTAAGCCTTACTTGTTCAGTTATGTCTGAAGTGGCGATCAAAAAAAACCTTGAGGGCTGGACATGGTGGTGCATGCCTATAATCTCAGCACTTGGGAGGCTGAGGCAGGAGGATTGCAAGGTATAGGCCAGCTGGAGCTATATAGCAAGTCTGTCTCATGGAAAACCAGGGAGGGGCAGGGCACAGTGACACATGCCTATAATCCTAGCTACTTGAGAGGTAGAGGTGGGAGAATAGTGGTCTAAGACCAGACTGGACAAAAGTGCAAGACCCTAATATGAAAAACAAAAGAAAGCAAAAAGGGGCTGGGAAGTAGCTGAAGTGGTAGAGCAGTTGCCTAGAAAATGTGAGACTGAGTTCAAATCTCAGTACCACAAAAAAAAAGAAAGAGAAATCTTTGATCTATCAGTAGTTCCCAAATGAGAACTCCTTGTCCATTTTAACACTTTTAATAGCCCTACATATTCATACACAAATAAAGGATTGGATGTCACATGGGAAGGGTGGAGCCTTGAGATCACCTTGGAGTGAGGATATCCCAGTGTTACCAATGCCGTCCGCTACCTGCAAACCTTGGATCAGCAGTGGTCTCAAACTGGGCAGGAACTTGAGAAGAAAGGTGGCAGTGTACCCTATGGGGATCCTCCTTGGACTGGGCTGGTCATCATGTTGTTCAAGCCTTGTGTATCTTGCTTGGGCCACAGTGCAGTAAGCCCCTAATAAATATTTCTTTCTAGTGGTCACCATTTTTTTTTAAATGCCACTCTTTAAAATGACAAGTCATCTCTGGAATTCTATGGCTCCTGGTGTCCAGAGTAACATGTTAGTGGTGCTTCCCCGGCATGGCCCCCCCTCTGCTGACCCTCACTGGACACATGTGCTCTTCTGTGTTTATATTTTGGCCTTCTAGAGAAATTAGGCATGGCCACAGTCTTGTACTTTTGAAATGTTCAAAGCAAATATTTTTATTTTTATATGGCTAGCACTTATTACAGCTTGTTTTGGAAGTCTCCCCAAGCATGTAAATGAAAGTATTTCATCCCAACATGAGAGACCATAAACCTGTGAACCTGTAACTCAGTCTAGGCTGCTTCCACAGAGACTTAGCACTGGTTCCTTACCCGGGCGTGGTTATGATGTGCACCTATTTCTCCACTTCTAGAAGTTTTGTCAGTAAGAAGACATCTAGATTGTATTTCCATGCAGTTTTATATATAATTCAATTCAGCTGGGTAATTTTTTATTGTTTTGTGGTGGTTTGAGGTCACATGATATCTGTTACCTGTAAACAGATTTTAACCTTCTGAGGATAGAGAGCATATTTCATACTTTATAAAATTTTTATGTGGCAGAAAATAGTGTCAAAAAAAAAATCACAGTAAGAACTCTGAGCTTTCTGGGATCCTGGAATTGGGTGTTAAGCCAAATATAGGAACTCTTTGAGGGCCAGGGTAGATAGGATGCTTGGTGTTTATCTCCATGCCACCTTCCTCCTAGTGTGTCATCCAGTCCTGCAGATATTGGAAGGCAAAAAGATGTACACAACACATATACAAGCCAGTTCCACACTTGCAGAAGAACTAGGGGCTGTGGCCTGACTTAGTTTCACATTTGCTGCCTCTGCTGATGGCCCAGTGGTCCATGTGTTCCATTCTTCTGCAACAGGGATGGCAGCGGTCCCAGGATGATAATCAGTGCAAGGGAGCCAAGAGGCCAGGCACAAGGCACCCATGTTGCTGGTGCAGGTGTTTCTGTGTGTGGCATGGTGCTCGAGCTGGTAGCAGTAGTAATGGCTTTCTGATTATAGCAGTGGGTCTGGAGCAAGAATTTTCCTGATTGTATGGCGAGTCAGCTCTTTTTGACAGCCTGGTTTTGTGATGTGACTATGAGAGTCTTTTATCTTTTTTGAGAGAGAGAGAGTCTAAGCTGTGCAGTTCAGGCTGGCCTCGAACTCACCATCATCCTGCCTCAGCTCCTGAGTGCTGGGATTTTAGGTGTGTGCTGAGTCATTCTTGAGGGCTCACCTTAGCATCTGTTTCTTTAGACTCATTGCAATAAATTACTTTCTCCTTAAAAACTTTGAGACTTCACATGATAATCATCCCTGATGTTTGTGATATTCTTCATCATTTATGAAGCAAATCGATGTATCTTAGTTTTAAATTTAAGCATTTCTCTAGTCCTCTGAGGTTAGTAGAAAGTTATTTCCTTTATTTTATAGTTTGGCAGAGGTGAGTGGCAGGGCTTGACCACACATTAGGCTGTGTTAGTCAAGATATAGCAGGTTCTCCTGACCCCTGATTTTGGGTCATTTCCTCTTAGAGTGCTGCTTTTCATGGTTGAGAGATGCTGTCTCTTCTGACCCAGGATTATTGTTAGCCATCAGGACCTTTATACAAATTCTTCTGTGTGGTGACAGTTCTACTTGGCCAGGCACCCTTGTATATAGTGAGCAATTTGCAGGATTGCTTATGGCAGCCTTATTTCTTCCAGCATAACAGCGTGGGAGGTTGACAGTTTTGTGACTGGAAATTGAGAGGAAAGTTAAAATGTTGATTTTCCTGGAATAAGCCCACTGAGAAGTTGTGTTGTTAGGGTCAAGTTTTGTGTGTGTGTGTGTGTGTGTGTGTGTGTGTGTGTGTGTGTACTGTTAATTATTTCCCACAGGTGTTAGTCACTGTGTGTGTGTGTGTGTGTGTGTGTTAACTGTTAATTATTTCCCACAGGTGTTAGTCACTGTACCATTGGCCATACTACAGAAAGGTGCCATCCAGTTTAATCCACCATTGTCAGAGAAGAAGATGAAGGCTATCAACAGCTTGGGTGCAGGCATAATTGAAAAGGTGACCTATATTACCTTAGCCTCAGAACTAAAGAGATGCACATCATATGCTAGGAGTTAACTTGTCAAATAGAGAAGTTTTTTTTTTTTTTGTGGTACTAGGGTTTGAACTCAGGGCCTCACACTTGCTAGGCAGGTGCTCTACCACTTGAGCCACTCCACCAGCCCTAGGAGGTCATTTTTGAAGTCAAATAAAATTCAAAGGTTTCCTTTTCATTGGTCATGAGGAATATAAAAGGATATTATCAAAACAAAAGGCTGGCAGAAGTCTGTTTTGACTTTTAAGAGAATGAATCTTGATATTTAAGATTTGGATTTGATATAAACATTGCTTGCTTTCTTATTTTTTGGCTTTCTTCATCCACCCTTCTTCACTTACTGACCTCAGTGAGGACAGCTGTTTACTTTCTCTGCTTTTACAGTCTCCTTTAGCAGAGTCTGCCAGTGCTGCTGTAGGCACCAGCAGACCTATAAGTAGTGAGTATGTAACTTACTGACAGTGCTTCAAGACCCAGTCTTACATCTTCAGGTTAGCCTGTCGGTTGTCAGTGGGTCCCAACATTTTCCCAAGGGAGTGAACTGGGTGGCATAAAAAAGCAAGAAGCTGCTGGAGGAATGGATCATGTGGAGGCCCTGAGTTCAAACTCCAGTGCTGCCCTCAAAAAAAAAAAAAAAGCCAAGAAGTTGACAGAGAACAAAGAAGGTGAAAACAGAAAGAAGGAAGATTCTAAACACAGTGAGTTTCAAAGTAGAGTTGCAGGTTGCGTCTAGCGATGGCCTGCGATTGCTACACAGGGAGCAAGCACTTAACCATCTCTCTCTCTCTTGTTGCTTTCCAGATTGCCTTGCAGTTTCCTTACAGATTTTGGGACAACAAGGTTCAGGGAGCTGACTTTTTTGGTCATGTTCCTCCCAGTGCCAGCCAGCGAGGGCTCTTTGCGGTATACTATGATATGGATCCCCAGGTAAAATCATTTGTGAAGTGTGGCTTGCAGTTTCTTCTTAATGTTTAGAATTTGGTCATCATTCATGTGTCAAGCTCAGGAATGAAGGAATATTGTGGAGATTCTAGATGTGTGTTTACATTCTTGGAGAACATTTGGACATCTTCTATGGGAAAGAAACCCCAGTATTTGCCATCTTGAAGTACTAATGTTGTTCCCTAGGGCTGACAGTACTGGGGTTTGAACTCAGGGCTTCATGCTTGCAAAGCAGGTGCCCTACTGCTTGAAGCACACCTCCAGTCTCCCTGAGGGCATGAATTTGTGCTTGTGGAAGCTAATTTTGGGCTGAGGGAATTCCACTTAAGTTGGCCACAGCACAGTGAGTGTCCTGAAACTTCCTTTCTGGTCTTCTAGAAAGCTGGAAGGGCAGGATGTGGTTCGTTCACAGGAGGGTTGTGGTGTCAATAGATGTGAGAAATGGGAAAGTCAGATGGAAACTGTGGGAATGTCTCCTGCAACCGTGATGCTGCTGCACCAAGAATCATAGCTGCTGTTTCCTACTTCCTCTCAGTTCCAAGAAACTGCATTAGGAGGGTTCACGCAGGAGCTAAGGACAGGATTTCTTTGCTACTTGAGCAGCATTTATTCACATTAATTTTTTTCTACAGATTTCCCTTCTCAGTCTCTTTATGCCACTTCTGAAACAAGACTTCATAAACGTACAGCCAAGGGAGCCCTGAATTTGATGTTTACATTACTTTTTAAGTTTTTTTCCTTTCAGCAGAGAAAAGTAGAGTAGGTGGATGAGTAATGTGTGAGTGTGAAGAAAATGTAGGGGTGATTGAAGTGAGGAGGACAGTAGGAAGCAGTGAAATTCAGTTTGTGAGAATGAGGCCTTTGTTTGGAACTGAGAGTTTAGAGACTTCTGTACCAAAAGCCTTAAATGCTTTTCCCTCTGTGCCTGCAGAAGAAGCAGAGTGTGCTGATGTCAGTGATCGCAGGGGAAGCGGTGGCGTCCCTTAGGACTCTGGATGATAAGCAGGTGCTGCAGCAGTGCATGACCACCCTTCGAGAGCTATTCAAGGAACAGGTCAGAGAAACCCTTCGTGGAAGGAGGGATACACTTGCTGTTAATGTGCTCTTCCGGGTGGGAAGAATGGAAGCCCTCTGCATTATTGCGATCGAAGGGAGTCACAGCAGCGGGCCATGTTGCTCTTCCTTCCAGGATCTCTCTCAAGAACTGGTGTTTGCTTGCTAGGACTGCCATAACAAAGCACAGCATGGGTGCCTGAGACAGTTCTGGAGGCAAGGTTTGTCTCTTCAGAGGTTTCTCTGTGGCCCTGTGCCCTCCACATGCTCTTCCCTCTGTGCGTCTGTCCTTATCTCCTCTTATAAGCCAGCACTAGTCAGATTGGGTCAGGCTCACACTGCCAACCCCATTTTAACTTAATTATCCATTAAAGACCCAGACTCCAAATGCAGTTACATTGAGGGACTAGGGGTTAGAACTTCAACATAGATATGTGGGGGGAGAGCACTGTGTACCCCGTAAGTGTCCCATACCTCCTTTTACCCATATCTTCCTTTTTTCTCCTCATATCCTGCACATTTCCTTTCACCTAAGACTGTAAAAGGCTTAGCATTTTCTGTAGATACTGTGCTTACCCAAGCACTAGAGGCTTGGATTACAACTTTCCTTTTAAAGAGCGATGTTCTCCAGAGTTTTCTTGTACCCTACATACATAGGCTATTTTTTCCATTAAGTTACTTTAATTTACAAATTTACTAAATTTCACAATCTCTCGAAATTTGTAAATGGCTATAACTTTTTCAAAATAAGCAGAAACAGAAGTGAAATGACTGGAAAGGTACAAGAGTTGAGAGAGTGAAGGATATTCAGGTTATGTTGCCAGTTTATGTGAGAGTGTCTAACTAGTGATGTGATTATATCATGCAGTAGTTCCTTGCTTGTGTTTTTTCCCCCAAAGTGTGTTCTTGAATTAGTTGTTTGGAACATAGCAGTTTCCAGGTAAGTACTCTTCATGCTGATACTTGTCAGAGCCCAGCTGACAAAATTGTTTTAAGTTTAGCAAAGGTAAAAACATGTCTTTGAAAATGTGGTATCTATACACAATGGAATTCTATGCAGCCATGAAGAAGAACGAAATGTTATCATTCGCTGGTAAATGGATGGAATTGGAGAACATCATTCTGAGTGAGGTTAGCCTGGCCCAAAAGACCAAAAATCGTATGTTCTCCCTCATATGTGGACATTAGATCAAGGGCAAACACAACAAGGGGATTGGACTATGAGCACATGATAAAAGCGAGAGCACACAAGGAAGGGGTGAGGATAGGTAAGACACCTAAAAAGCTAGCTAGCATTTGTTGCCCTTAACGCAGAGAAACTAAAAGAGATACCTTAAAAGCAACTGAGGCCAATAGGAAAAGGGGAACAGGTACTAGAGAAAAGGTTAGATCAAAAAGAATTAACCTAGAAGGTAACACCCACGCACAGGAAATCAATGTGAGTCAATGCCCTGTATAGCTATCCTTATCTCAACCAGCAAAAACCCTTGTCCCTTCCTGTTATTGCTTATACTCTCTCTACAACAAAATTAGAAAGAAGGGCAAAATAGTTTCTGCTGGGTATTGGGGGGGGCGGAGGGAGGGGGCGGAGTGGGTGGTAAGGGAGGGGGTGGGGGCAGGTGGGAGAAATGAACCAAGCCTTGTATGCACATATGAATAATAAAAGAAAAATGAAAAAAAAAACAACAAAAAAAAAACCATGTCTTTGTATTGCTGTTTTGTGGTCTGTTGGGAATTCCAATTTGTGATGCTATCACACAACCCTTCTCTTTCCCAGGCCAATCCTTTTCCACCATAGCTCCAGTACATGCCAGGCAATGGAAAAGGGAAGGCCTGAACTCTTTGCCGCTGGTGTTGGCCTGCGGGTGGGTGGCATGCGTCTCCAGCAGAAGGATGAAGTATAGAAGTGAGGGGCTGTGTGGCTGGGGCAATAAAGAGTTTGCAGGGGTACCAGGAGTATACTGAGAGGGCTGCCAGAATGAACTCGGTCCTGAAGGGAGGGAGAAATGTGCATTTCTAATTTGAGTTGTACCACGTCAAAGTTCTTTCTGATCTCACTTTATAATTCCTTTCCATTGGACACAGGAAGTCCCAGAACCTACAAAATATTTTGTCACTCAGTGGAGCACAGAGCCATGGATCCAGATGGCATACAGTTTTGTGAAGACATTTGGAAGTGGTGAGGCCTATGATATCATTGCTGAAGAAATACAAGGAACTGTCTTTTTTGCTGGTGAGGTATGTATCTTGATCTCAAACCCAATTATATTTTGATTTCTTTCTTTTAAAGTGGTATCTGCTCAGTTTAAAAACCAAGTCAAATAATCTTGAAACTCTTGCAATAATTATCAGAAGCCTTCTCAATACTGGGAGCCTGCCTTAGAGGCAGCCATTTTTAACTTTTCCAGCCATTTTTCCTGGACTTTCCTTCCCATCTTAAAATGATGTTAATATTGCCAAATTTTGATTTATCAAATTATCTAACTTCAATCAAGTTAAAAATTTAGCCTGTTCAGTTTCTGCACGGTTCTATCAATGTGGTTATTTCACACTATTACATTGGTATCTGTGTTTCTATGTAAATGTTTACATAGCTTTCTATTTTCTTGGCAGTTGTAAAGCCCTCTTTGGTAAAGCCCTTATTGGCTTAATTATTATATCTGTTCCCGTCTCCTCCTCCCTTCATTCAGCTCAGTGAGATCTCCTTTCTTAAACTCCGGTCTGCTTTGGCTGATCTCAGATTACTGCAGGGCTGTCCTACTAGGTTCTTTCATCTGTTCTCCACCATTAGGCCTTTATTTCCAAGATTCTGTTTTCTTGATTTACTTCTGTTGAAAACTGCTTGTAAGTATCTTATTTCATTCCTTGTAATCTAGAAACTCACGTCCTTTAACTCTGGAATTTTACTTCTGGTCACTTTCTCCCATTCCCCCCCCCCCTTCTTTGTATCTTATCTTGGAACTCTTAGTGACACTTGATTTTCTGTTCTTTACTATTACTCATCTTTTTTTTTGAGGTTTTTTGTTTAGCCCATCAACTGGTCAGATCCCAAGTGTCACTGTCTTGGAACCTTTTAGTTTTGGTGGAAGCTCAGCTCCTAGCATCATGGGTACTGGAAGTCTCATTGGTAGCTGTGAAGACTACCTAGTCTTCAGTTTTGGTGTCTAGGTCAGAACTTTGAGGATTGTACTAACAGTTGGGAATCTGGTGCTTAGACCTAAGTGGTTTTGAAGCCAGTCCAGTATTTACCCTGTACCATCCTTTCCTTCTATGGTTCCTCTGGCTTTTAAGTGTGGAGATAATGGAAGGATTCTTTGTGGAATTGGTGTGCCTTCTGTTAGCACCTCTATTTACACCCCTACCCCAAACATAAAGTGAATTGCTACCACTCCCTTTATCTGTCATACTTTGTAGTTAACAGTTTAGGATTGCATATCTCCAAGTGTTTCATTTAAAAGTGTTTTTTTCCCTCTGATTCTTAAGTGATGACAAAAAAAAATGCCATCTTAAAACCAGATGTATTTGATTACTCTTGGGCCTATGAAAAGCGTAATGGCTGCTTACCAGGCAGATATTGTCAGATGCTTCTAAGAGATTGTTTCAGGCTAAGAACCTTTCTTTCCTTCGAGGTAGAGGTGATAGCTAACGCATTTCTCTAAGGCTTCTGTTGCTGCCATTTTCTTCCCGATGATCTTAGACTTTGTATTTTAATGAATGCCACAGTGCTTTGTGAGAGTGCTGAGTATTTTATAAATGAATTTGGCCAAGCCTGGCAAGATAACTAGAGAAGTTCCAGGGCTCCTATGACAGGTGACTAGAGTCATTATGAGCACACAGGAGGGCCACCAATCTTTATTTCAGGACCAGAGAAAAGTATAACCTCCTATTACCTTTGGCTATCATCTCAATCTTTTTTTATGCTCAATCTCAAATTATGCAATTATTTTTTTACAGGCAACAAACAGGCATTTTCCACAAACTGTTACAGGGGCATATCTGAGTGGTGTTCGAGAAGCAAGCAAGATTGCAGCCTTTTAAATAGAACTTGCCTGGACCCAGCTTTCTTCTGTGCTCCAAATGAGAAAGTCTGAAACACAGGTGAAACCTGTTTGATAAGTGTGTGAGGGAGATCTCTCTGGATAGTAAAAATGAAATGTTTCTAAGGTGGTTTGAAAACAGAAGGCCATCTCACCATTCTGAAAGCACACAGTCCACAAAATCCTAAGCACTTATATTTAATTGCATTTTCCATAACTCCAACTAAGGCTAAGTCTTCTGACTTTCAGAAGAAGGCAGAATATAACCTTGAGACCTTGGATAAGATTCTTCCAACTGGGGTTTCCTCAGATATGACATCTTGTTTGACTGATTTAATTTCCATACATTATAAAACCAACTAGATAAAGCCATGTGTTTTTCTTCTGTGACAATTTATCAGTATCTTTACCAATGAGCCTTAATATTTTTATACAGCTCCAATATTGACTTTCCTTAAAATTTAGACTGAATTCTTTTTGATACAACAAACTCCAGCTGAAAGTAAGATGAGCCTTCTAGACTATTTTATACTGTATATACTACTTCCTGTTGGGTGTTCAAAAGAAACTTAAATTCAGGTATCTTTTGTGGTATTTTAGATCTGTGCACTCATCAGAACAGAAAAAAATCTCAATCTCTTAATATATCATTGAGTATAGGGTGCAGAATGTGGTCTTCACACTAAAGACATGGCATATAGCTATTCATCAAGCCAGATTTGGCGGGGGTAGCACACTTTAAATATCCTTAGTTTTGGCAACCACTAGCAAAAAAGATCTTACCGGAATAATAAAAGCCACTCCTTCTTTTTAAAATGTTTTAGTCTGCAGGAATACTTTCTGCATAATTATGCTTAGTTTCCCATAGGCAGGTTCACTGGAAAACTGCAGAAAAACCTAAGTTCTCCTGGTGAATATTATACATTTATAAGCCATATAGTAAAAGCCTGAGAACATGGCAAACATTTCTTTCATATTAATACACGTTGGTTCCAGGGTCTTTAGGATGTCTATTTTGCTAAGAAACCTCAGTTTATAGGTTGGAAATATGCTTGTTTAAAATCTTTGAATAAATATTTGAATTACATTATGCTTTAAAAAGGAGGTTAAAATGACTTTAAAGCCACTTTGCAAAATATTCAGTATTTTTGAAATTTAAAATCAATCTGTAAGTATAAAGAATATCTTTATACACAAGTCTCCCCTTAGCCTCCATCAAAGTAAGATACAAAAAAGAAAGCTAATAGCTGTATATTTCAAAGTTAACATGGGAAAATTGATCTTTGGTTGTTGAGACTCATTGTACTGATTAACAAATGTTCTGCTTTAAAGTGTTGTAAAATGTCGAAATAGCATGTGTTAAGTGAAATACAAAATGTTAAATTATTTAGTTATTGGGCAGTTAAGCTGGACTGTGCTACAGTAGGGGAAACCTACTTAAAGTAGGTGAGTGTATATTAAATTTTTTTCCAAGTGACTACTTCAATTTGACGATTTTGTTCTTTAAGGAACTTTGGTATTTGAGTTCTATGAATGTTCTTCAATGTTATCTAAAAAATTTTGTAATCAAGCAGCAGTGAACACACACATTCACAGTGATTTAACCGCAGGTCATGACTAGCTGGTTGTGTGAAACTGCTTAATAAAAGACTTTTTCAAATACCCTTTGTGTACTAAGTGGTGAACGCACACCATCTCACCCCCTTAAATTGAATGCTAACTCTTAATCTTGGAGATCACTTCAAAAAGTTATTACTAAAGAGTACTATATGAAAATCATAGGATATGGGGAGAAGTGATACATAAGCCTGCAATAAATACAAGACTTAAAAACACCATTGATTTTTTTTTTTATTGACAAGACTTATAAGAACAAATTAGATACTTAAAATCAAAGGCCAATTTTTAGGTTTAATTGCTTATTCCATTCATTCTTACCAAGTATACTTTTATCAAGAAACACATTAACACTCACATACCATTTTTATATACTTCTGTCCTATGATGCAAAGATTTTTAAACACTCATTTGGGTACATCAAAAATCTAAAGTCATAAGCAGGCATATTTTATTTAAAATTCAAGAGATAGGTTATTAATAAACTGACTTAGAGACAGTCATTTAAAAGACAAATTTTAGGCTTTCAAATTCAGGGGTTCCATATCATTTTATACCTGAATCCTGATTGCAAAATTTTAAATACAGTCCTGATTCACAAATCATTAAATTTCTTTAATTTATAAAGCATATTTTATTTTAAAATTCAGAGATAGGTTATTTAATAAACTGACTTAGAGACAGTCAATTTAAAAGACAAAATTTAGGCTTTCAAATTCAGGGGTGGTCCATATATTTGATCACCTAGAATCCTGATTGGCCAAAATTTAAAACCCTACAGTCCTGATTCTACAAATACATTAAATTTCTTTAATGTTAAAAATAGGTATACATCGCTCATTAGAAATACCCACTATTGCTCACACATTTATCATAATTATGAAGGAAGGCGGCCGAGTTTCTTGTAAATACCAGCATTTTAAATGGTCAAAAGCAGTTAATAAAAATCACTTCACTTACTAGAAACCAAATGTGCTTAATCCCACCCTTTCCCAAAGTTTTGAAGTTCTGATGTGTTGATTTTTGGTCTGTCCTCAATATAAAATGTATATAGATACTTCTGCAGTTAACACTAAAACTACAAATTGATGACACTTTCAGGGCGAAGCAGAACTAGACAGTTCCTCAGTGTTCCCATCACTGAACTCTGACTTTCACTGCTCTGTCATACTGCCTGGCTGAACACTGACATTTCATAGTTTACAAGTGGAAAGATACCTACCTACATGAGTTTAAAAATTGATCTGCACAAAAGAAATAAAAAAATTATATACAACAAATTGGTTTTTGAAAAATACAAAAATAATATCTGTCACTTCTGTCATGCTGACAATTCGACATATATATACATGCAGGAGAAATTCCAATTCAGTCATCTGGACAGGTAGCTCGTGTAACTTAATATGACACACACACTGCCACTAAGTTGTCACATGGACAGAATAGAGCTGTATTCAAAATATTTCATATACTAAATACTGCAATAATCTCTGCAGGTATAAATGCCGGTTGTAATAGCTTTTCTACTTGATTAAAAGTATGTCTTATGCAAGCTAGTATTAAGTGCACTAAAACCCACAACAGTTCAAGAATCTATGACCTTATATAAAGAAATCCAAAATGTACAAAATACAACTATAAAAGCAAGGGACAATTATTGCCATGCAAGATTTTAAACTAAAAACTGCATAGAAATGCAATTTAAAAATGCCAAACTCAATTATATGTAACACTCCAGATAAAAAGGTCAGCAGTAAGTTCTACCAACACAACATTTAACAAAGATTTAGAAAAGGAAATACATTCTCTTTGCTGGTATAATGGTATAAATCAGATCTTCAAATCTATGGGAACAAATCATCTGTCCTCTATCTCAAGAAATTAGCTGTAATGAAAAAGAAACAACATTTTACCATATACAACATATTAAGTACACATAAATCAGAAAACCTTATTACATTTTTTCTCATCTGTTTTACTATGACCTTGGGAAATCAACCGGGGCTAATGAAAACCCAACATGCTACTGTGACTCTTCCCTCGTCCTGGACTGCCAGACAGAAACTTGCCTTCAAGTTGCTAAACACCTCTGAGCTGCCCAGGTACCACATGCACTATAAATTTTTTTTTTTTTTTTTTGAGGTACATTGAATTCAGGGCCTATACCCTGAGCTACTCCACCAGCCCTTTTTTTGTGAAGGGTGTTTTTGAGATAGGGTCTCAGGAACTATTTGCCCAAGCTGGCTTCGAACCATGATCCTCCTGAGTAGTCACATTATAGGCGTGAGCCACCAGCACGCAGCTTTGAATTCTTATTTTAGATGTTCAAATGTTATTAGATATATTTTCCCATTTATTTTGAGGATCAAATGTGATATTCAGTGACATGAGTACTTTGGCATACATAATTTACTATTTACAAAATGATCAAATTAGGAAGACGGCAATGTTTTACCTCTTTTACAGTTGTTTTAATGAAATCTTTTCGCTCAGTTAAATCATAAGCAGGATAATTTTCATATACCTATAGTGAAAAGGAAACATTTAAAAATCCAGTAATATTCTAACTTCGACTTAAGAGAAAATGTGTGCTATACACAAATAGCTTTGTATACATTCTAGCAATACTCTGGGTGACCATACAGACTCATACTTGCAGATGAACACTTTTATTAACACTGCATACAAAGCAGAAATTCAACTACCATGCAAACAATTTTCAGTGCTTTATAAATTGGCAGTGGGACTGAATTAATACAGATGATTAACAGCTAAAGACTAGTTAGGTGGACTAACATCTTTACACTGGCAGGTTATTTGTGGAGTATCTTTTTTTTTTTTTTTTAGAGATAACCTCTTACTTTCTTATCTATAACACCATCCTATACTTCTAGAATTCCACTCTAAATTTCCCTCTCTTCAATTGCTGCTTGACTTCAAGTCCTGAGACTCATGCTTACAGTGTATAAGCACACTGCATTGGCTTAACTCATACCATAGTTTGGGGTCAGCATATTTTCTGTAAAGAGCCACATAGTACACAGTTTTTTTGTTACAACTACTCAACTGTGCAACTAGTGACTGACTCCATTTTCACTTCAAAGCCTTCCTGCGGTCCCTAGTCTCCTGGTCAGGTTCTCCTTCCATTCTTGTCATTGGCAGTTTGACCTCCTTATTCAAGTATCCCTTGCTTTCAGCCAAGAAGCCAAGTTCTTCAACTTTTTGACCTACCACTGCCACCTCCCCCTTCAGTTGTATCTACATTCATCAATGGTTTTTGTGCTCCCCTGGCCCTCTTATGTTTTCTCATCAACTTCAAGCTGCTTGAAACATAAAATTTAACTCATTCATGTTCCTCATTACTGCTTTTATCACTTCTCGAACTTGCTTTTATATGATCATTTTCTATTACCAAGTCTTAACAGAAAGGTCAAGTCCTTCTCCCCTGATCTCTCCATGTTGATAATAATCCCTTTTAAAAATATTACAAATATGTAACCACAGAAATCCCTCAAATGGACAGAACTAATCTCCTGCCCCCATCCCTCTCCCCTCAGAAGGAAATCAGTGAGTGACCACTTTGGTGCGTGATCTTCCAAGAAACAGACCTAGAAATGGAATTGCTAGATGAAAAGGCATATGCAACTTAAATTCTAAGACACTACCTAATTGTCCTCCAAAGATGTTACCACTTAAGGCATAAGTTTCCTTACATTCTTGCTAACAATGAAATCTGTCCATCTTTAATTTTTTTCGATCTAATAAGCAAAAATATTATCTTTCAATTTCTGTCTCCCTGATTAGTAGAGCCGGTTGGATGTGTCTTCTAGTTCTTCTATGAATTGTCTTTCTATATCACTCGTCTCCTAAGTTAATTAATTACCTTTTCTACCTTGGTGCCTACCCCCTTCTTGAGACGTCTGGCTCATAGCAACACTCCCTCCTGCCTTTCTTCTGTCTCTACAATTTCTTATATTTTATAGAAATTATTTCTCAAAGGGTCTTCAGGATTCTGTTTCTGCCTTTCTCACCCATTATCATCTTCTCTTGGCTACCTTATCTATATTCCTGGTTTTAACTCCCAACCATACCCTGTCCAGATTTCTCTCCTAAACTGGACAATCACAATGTCCACAATTTTACTTATTTGGTTATTCCCAGCATTCCATCTCATGTTAAAAAAACATCTTTTCTTCTAAGATATTCTTTCCGTTGTATTCTCTGTGATTAATGCTACCTAAGTTCTTATACCTCAATGGAACAAACTTTGATCAGGTTCTTATTTCTGACTTGAATTACAGCAAGTCAGAAACTCATGACTATTTAGTTCAGTAAGAGTGGCTGGCATACAGTAGTTTAATAAATTTTTATTCAATGAATCAAAGTACAAAAGGATATAGTTTCAAATTAAGAAAGTGAAAAATTTTTGAGTAAAGTAGAATGATCTAAGTATTAGTAATTACCTCTTTGCAAATCTGCTTCATTGTGACTTCTTCCAAGTTAGCATTGGCCAATAATTTCTTTACTGTTTCCTTTAATTCATCATCTGTAGGTGGTTTCTTCAATTTTTTTATTAAAGGCTCATCATCTGAGCTATCTTCAGATTCACTTTCTAAAAGTAACATCAATTATGAATAACTTTTTTACAAAGTAAATCTTTAAGATAGGAATTGTATAAGCTTTCATTAATCTTGGACTCCTCAGGTTATAAATCACAATGTAAATTATAATGTATAAATCACCTATGAAATATGCATTGAAAATTGTCAACTTTGAAAGGTTTTTAAAAGCTGTCACCTCTCTTTTACCCAATGTTCTTTGCAGTCTACTGTCTTCTACACATTTAAACACACGTTTTATCTTTAAAGTTGGTGGGTGATGTCACTTCTACCTTACCTTTTTTGGAACTGTTTTGATTCTTCTTGGTTGTGCTGCTGTCTGCCTTCTTCACGTTAGCACTTTTTACAGACTTCTTACTTTTCGAAGTAGCTTTCTGTTTAGGTTTTTCTCTTTTAGAGGTCTTTTTTGGTGGCTGCTGGACAGGAAAGGAAAGAAAATATACTGATGAGAAGATTCACTGCTATCTCTCAACTTTTCTTATGCCTGTCAATATTAGAGAAAATTAACAGACTAGCACAATTTAAAAATTACTAATTATCAGATGTAGTGCATGCCTATAATCCCAACTACTTGGAAGGTGGAGATGGGGAGGATCTCGGTTTGAGGCCAGCTGGAACAAAAACTTGGTAAGACCCCATCTCAATCAACAAGGCCAGCATGGTGATACACTTCTGTAATCCCACCTATGAGGGAAGCATAGGTAGGAGGATTGAGGCTGGCCCTGGGCAAAAAGGTGAGACCATCTCTGAAAAGTAAACTAGAGCAAAAAAGGGCTGGGGTGCGGCTCAAGTGATACAGCAAATGCTAGCAAGTATGAGGCAGAGTTCAAACCCTGCTACGGCCAAAACTTAAAAAAAGAACACAACTAATTATCAAGTTTGAGACATGACTAATACACTCTAATCTGGAGTAGTGGAGGGAAGAGAACCTAAAATATATACTATTACCATCTCTTATTTTCCCTCTAGCCCAACTAGAATCGAAGTTCCATGAAGAGCGGCTTCAGTCCCTCACGTTCACTGATGTACCCCTCACTCCTCAAATAGTGCTTGGTACACAAAAGTTGCTGAAAACCTATCTGTGAGTATCTGAGGAAACTAAGGCTCAGTGAGGTCATCAGTCACGTTAGCTGATAACCAAGACTCAAGTACAGATCTGACCCCAGCCCGTGTGTTCTTAAACACTAACCCAGAGACAATTCAACAAAAGCAAAATGCATACAGATGGAGATTGAAACAAGTAAGTTATAATTACTTTGTCCACCATAGTCTCTGCAATTAGGAAGCACTAATTCTTCACTTAACTAGCATTCCCAAAGGGCAAGCATTCTGTATCATTTCAAACTGCCAATAATGGCATAAAGTTGCACTAAACACTTTATACTCTTGATTTCTAAGGCACACCTCAATAAGCCAGCCTTTTTGGAAGCTATGTCCCCAGTCCCTTTTTTAGTTATTTTTCAGATAGGGTCTTGAGTTATTTTGCCTGGGCTGGCCTGGATCATCGTCCTCCTATTTCTGCTTCCCACTTAGTTGGAATGACAGGCACACACAACCATCTCCAACTTTTTGTTGAGATGGAGTCTCGCTAACTTTTTCTCCTAGCTGGCCTTGAATGGAGCTCATCCTGTTCTCCACCTCCAAAGTAGCTGAGATTATAAACATGAGGCACTGCACTCAGCCCTTTTTGTTACAGGCTCTACCTGTATAGCCCAGGCTGGCCTTCAACTTGTAATCCATCTGCCTCAGTGCCTAGAAAGCTGGAATTATAGGCATGCACCATTCCCAGCTTAACCTTTTTTTTTTTTTTAAAGGACAAACATTGTGATGAACCTACCCTTCAGATTGAAGTCTATAGAAAAATTTGTTCCAAAAGTTAGATGGGTGCAAAGTAGAGTTCACTGGATTCTACTATTTGTCTTTCTTTTTGCTATAATACAATCACTGTGCATATCTGTCATATGCTTAGTATCCCCATGCCCTAACTACCTCAATAAAATACTTGTGGCTAGGCACTAGCTAACCCATCTAGTTTGGCTTCTACTAAAAAAGGAATTTAAGAAGTATCAAGGGGTTGACATGCTTCTAAAAAAAAGTATGTGAGCTTTAGCATGAATGTTTGCTATTTAAGGGGTATTTCACTTCCTTATTCTGATGTTCAAGATACCAGGTTGATACAGCAATGGTTTTACTAGTTTTCTATGACCAATTTAAATTAAGTTTTAAGTTTATTAGGTGCCCTTCTATTTTACATGAACAGCACTGGGCTCTGCAAGTATCTGTTGATACATTTAGTACATAGAATAACATAATCGCTATTAATTATCACTCTTTAATGAAAGGCCAGGAAAATATGGAACGTCTTTTTATACTTAATGTCTTCTAGAAAGAATATTGTCCTACAGCTCTTTTTAAGCAGACTAGTAGTCTACTGTCTTAGTAACAAATTTCTATATGGTTGCAAACACTGCACAAGCACTAGAGTAAGATACATCACGTTCAGTGTGGGCTCTTGAGACAAGCTGTCTGCTTTCAAATTCCAGCCTCAGTATCTCTCTGATACCTACTCTTATCATTTACAAAATAAGGGAAATAGTACGTATGGTTTTATGGAAAGTGAATAGTAAACCCACGAACAAGGGAAAGTACTTTTAAAGATGCCTGAAACATCGCAAATATTCAATATTAGCTATTATTATTGAGTATTTCTTTTGTAGTGGAAATTCCTTCATTGTGCAAATGCAACTTATCCCTAATAACGTTAAGTTTACTAAGTATTCTTTAAAAGCAGGGCAGATATATGAAAATGGAAATTATAAAAGCACCGAGAAAGCTTGCCAATCATGCGCAAGGCCCTTTATTCAATCCTCAGCACCACAAAAAATTAAAAGCACTGAGACAGACCAACACCTGTATCAACTAACCATGACACGTGATGCTTAGTTCATCACATTATAGTAGAAATGTCCTTAACCCACAATAACTTTTTTTTTGTCATACAGAGATTTGAACTCAGGGCCTTGCACTTACTAGGCAGGTACCCTACCACTTGAGTCATGGCCCCTAGCCCTTTTGGCTGTAGTTATTTTTTAGGTAGGGTCTCAAATTCTTGCCTGGGGCCAGCCTCATACTGTGGTCCTCTTATCTCGAGTCTCTCCATAGCTGCCATGACTGGCACACTATCAACTATGGTTTATTGACTAAGATGTGGTCTCACCAAGATTTTGCCTGGGCTGGCCTTGAACTACAATCCTCCTGATCTCTACTTCCCAAGTAGCTGGGATTACAGTAGTGAGCCATTTTGCATAGCCTACAAGATATCTTATTTATACTGAATTTCACTTATCTTTGGTAACCACTTACAAATTTTTTCTGTGGCAAACTCAGGTAGAAAGTATTTGTTTTAGATTGATTAGTGATGACTAGGAAAAGTGAAAGCTCAGCAGTAAAAACAACTAAACTACTAAGGGCTGTCATCTTGGGCAAAGTTAAGATAGCCAACCTCACATCCTGTGCTTTAGCTCTGCCAGTGTTAAGAATCACTTTACCCTCCCCGAAGGTAAGTTATTATGGTATTGGTAACATTGGAAAGTGGGGAACTCAAATATGTCCCGGACATACTTTGGTATTTGGTAATGGACAAGTTTCAGCAGCTAAGGCAAACATGGGAAGAAATCCTGGGGAGAGGTGAAAAGGCAAGTTAAACCACGCCCACTTTTACATCAACTTTCAATTCCTACTCTCATTCCTTTCCTCTACTTAAGAAAATCTTGCTCCCAATTCTAAACCCAGCTTCATAACCACTTCTCTAAACCTTCCACAATGCCACCAATTTGACTATCCGTATTCTCACAGTACCTGATCTCTAATTCATTAATTCCCACTTTGTGGAAGGTCTTGTGAAGAAGCGAGTAACAATATGCATAGGCTTTACAACCAAACTTTCTGGTTCAAATGCTAATTCCACCACTAATTTTGCGTTCTCAAGCAAATCACTTACCCTTCTTTACGCAAGCTCCTTGTTTGTAAATACTGAGGTAACGATGGCACACTTTGTTCATTTTAACACTTTCCCTATGTTTACATTCCTCTGGCATTCAGGTACATTTTAGAATCTACTAGAAAGGATGGCTGCCTTTACAGGCACTGTAGCATTGTAGGTTCAATTAACTGTGGCCCTATCTATGCAGTTGTTTGGATGATAAAATGAGCTAATATATAAAAGGCAGCAAAGAAAACAGACATTATATATGGTTATTAAACATATATTTACAGTTATTTAATATATATATAAATAACATAGGTATTTACATGTCTTATTTCCCCACTACAGTACAAGCTTAAGAGAAGACCTGACAATTTCCATGAGAACACTGACTACCCTTATTTAGCTCTATCAGTACACAAACAGCTAGAAAAATATTTGGCTTACAGTAACCACGTGACTATATGTTCATCTCTGTTATTATTTGTAGGACATCGTTTACCTGTACTCTCAACAAGGAGGGTGGTGAAAAATGTAATTAAAAGGAAAAGAAAAAGGCACTCACATAGCTACTGCTTTCACATACAATCTCACAATCTTAAAGAAACAAAACAAAACAACAACAACAAAACCTCAAATTACTTTTCCCTTGTTATAAATGAGGGAAATATCTGAGGAGTTAAGTGAGCCAACACCTTACAGCTAATAAAAAGCAAAGACCTTCATAATTATGGCTGGTGTGTCTCCTACTATGCTTGTTGCTTAGAAGAATGACTAATGTACTATGTATTTCTTTAAGCCAGGGTTGAAACTATAAAACTAAGTTATAGTAATAAGCCAACTGACATAATATCTTATCATATTCTAAATTTTTACCCTTCAATAGTTACACTGAAATACTACTACTAAAGAATAAAAATGGCAGAAAACACAGAATGGCAACAAAGGAAACCAAACTCTCTGTCAGGACTGTCTTTTACTCTCCAATTTTGTACGAGCTCCAGGATTTTATTTCTTTTTAGCTCTTAAATTATATTTTCTTCTCTTAATCTCTGCCCCACCCTCCTACCTACTAAACTAAAGTGCCCAAAGATAAAGACCCTGTTAATGATTTCTTGATCTCTAGTACAAACCTTAGAACCAGCACTCGTTGCAATGTAATTATTACTGAATTTGAAATGGCAAGACACTAGGGAACTAAATACCTTTAAAAATCTCTTCCTATCCTGAAGTTCTACTTCATTAAAATTACCCTGATTGCTAAGGCAAAAGATGTTTCCTATTAACAGCAGTTAGCCAAATCTCTTGATTTTTAACACCACTGTCTTCTGGTACAATTTACCTGTACAAATTGTTTATTTCAGAAACAGAAGAGGAAAAGTTTAAAAAAACCCAAAAAACATTAAATCAAACCACCAGGGGTACCCTGGG